TTTCTTTGAGCAGAAGCCATGTAATGTTAAGGCTATCTTAGGAAAAGAGGGGAAGAAGGTATGTTGCATCAAAACCTAGCGAAGTTCTAAGGCTAATTAGGATAGTCATTTGCCGTTTCGGAAGGCTCTGGTTGCCTTGGTTCAGCCCAGAAAATCGGTCTCCAACGGAATCATTTCGACATGAACAAGTTTGGGAAGCCTACAGATGAGGAGTATCGAACGGTGTGCGATGCTATAATCGATATTATAGATGCCATCCCGAGTATGACTACGTCGAAAGGAGGTCAAAAGCACGATAAGCGACAAGAACCTGCGCCTATCACATTCGAGAGGAAAAAAGATCAAACGTCAACGGACAATGCCCCTAAGCGGAAATTAGCACACAACAACTACACTATCGCGTGCATCTGTCCTATGGGCGTCGAACTGACCCCAGTCGTGGCAATGCTAGATGAGCAGCACCAGAGCCTGCCGACAATTCGTGACCAGAACAGTTATACACTCGGATGTATAGGAGAGCATAACATTGTTATCGCGGTTATGCCACAGATCGGCAATAACAAGGCGGCAACAGTCGCAACACAGTTGCTAAACGACTTTCCATCGATCAGGTTTGGCTTGTTAGTAGGCATCGGGGGTGGTATACCCGGCGATGACGAGGACGACATTCGACTGGGAGACATCGTGGTTAGCAAGCCAACGGCAACATTTGGAGGGGTTGTGCAGTTCGACAGAGGGAAGATGAACACTAACGGAGAATTCGAACGGACCGGAGCATTGAGTAAACCTCCGCCCATGCTTCTAGCAAATGTGCAGAAGCTAGCGTCAAACCATAGAATGTATGGTAGCCACATCCCTACACATCTGTCAGAAATGTTCAAGAAATTCCCGAAAATGGCAGCTGAATATGCTTCCCCGGATAGCGAGCAAGATCAGTTGTTTGATGTGTCTTATACTCACGCTAAAGGAAAGACCTGTCAGTTATGCGATCGAACTAAAATGATCGAGCGTGACCCGCGACAGGACACAACACCTATAATCCACTATGGTACTATTGGATCTTCCAACACACTTGTCAAAGACAGTAAGACAAGAGACAAATTGAGGAAGGACCTAGGGATCATTTGTGTAGAGATGGAAGCAGCAGGACTAATGGACGATTTTTCTTGCATTGTTATTCGTGGAATTTGTGACTATGCCGACTCTCACAAAAACAAGAAATGGCAGCCATATGCCGCCGCTACAGCCGCCGCCTACGCAAAGGAGCTTCTCTTAACCATTCCATCACGGGGGGTGGCTACGACAGCCACAGCAGCGTATGCTCTCGGAGGTATGTCATCCGACCTCTAATATTAGGTCTCCTGGTAGTTTTAGGCAGCTCTTTATTTAATATACCAAGTTATCACTGTTTCTCTTTTTCATAGCGTATTCTAGGTGTTGAATATTCATAGACTGTGGAAGAAGGTACTGATTCTATTCCCCACTTAGCAGATGGCCAGTGGCTCGTTCCATTTGGACGTAACAAGAACTTTGTTGGTCGTGAATCTCAACTCGAAGAACTTGTAGCTATATCCAACCCAGAGAATAACAAGGAGAACTGTCAAAGAGTAGCAGTAACAGGACTCGGTGGAATAGGGAAGACACAACTTGTTCTTGAGACTGCCTTTCGGATCAAGGAATTGTTTCCCTCTTGCTCTGCATTCTGGGTGCCTGCTATCGATATAGCCAGTTTTGAAAAGGCCTATCGTGAGATTGGAGTAAAACTTGGGGTTCCTGGAATCGACGACGATAAGGCCGATATCAAGCTACTAGTCCAGAGGGCGTTAAGCGAGATGACTAGCAGCTGGCTGATGATTATCGACAACGTAGATGATATGAACATACTCTACGCAGAGACATCCCGACTAGTCGATTACCTTCCGTTTAGCCAGAATGGTTCAATCCTCCTTACGACTCGGAACTTTGAAATTGCGACCAAATTTTCGGAAACGGATGTTATTACTGTTGAAGAAATGTCTAGCAATGAGGCTCAAGATCTTCTAGAGAAGAGTCTAGGTACTAAGGTTCAGGCAGACGAAAGAGATAGTTTGCAAATGCTCCTCCAGCTTCTTACTAATCTTCCTCTTGCAATTAAACAAGCAGCAGCATTTATGAAAGGAAAGAAGAAGTCCATCTCCACATACCTAAGGGTCTATTCGTCCAGCGACACAGAACTTATCCAAAATCTAACTCTGAATTTCGAAGATCAGGGTAGATATAAAGGATATAAGAATATACGAAATCCTATCGCAGCAACTTGGTTAATTACATTCGATGTAATTGCGAAGTCTGATCTTGCTCACCGATATTTATGCTTCATGTTTTGTATCGCTGCAAAGGATATTCCCCGCGCACTCTTGCCGCCAGCCTCAGATCGAGAACAAGAGGACGCGACTGCTCTTTTAGAACAATATGCGTTCATCACCCCACGAAATGGGGCAACATCTTATGATATGCATCGGCTGCTTCACTTAGCAGGGCAAAATTGGCTAAAGTCACAGGAAAACAGCAGGCACTCTTGCCGCCAGCCTCAGATCGAGAACAAGAGGACGCGACTGCTCTTTTAGAACAATATGCGTTCATCACCCCACGAAATGGGGCAACATCTTATGATATGCATCGGCTGGTTCACTTAGCAGGGCAAAATTGGCTAAAGTCACAGGAAACTTGGACTTTGTGGAGTATAAAGTCGCTTAGCCAAGTGGCTGAAGTTTTCCCAGTTTTCCCATATTATGAACATGAGGAGCGAACTCTATGTTTACAGTATCTTCCTCACGCTCAATGTATACTGAATAAAGAATACTCAGAAACTGAGAATGAATCACAATGGATACTAAGATATAGTGTTGGGGAATGTTTATTACAAATAAATAGGTATCGGGATGCTGAAACACAATACCGACAGGCGCTTTATTTAGCTGAGAAGACATTTGGACCAGATCACACATCGACCCTGAATACATTCAACAACTTAGGCGCCCTCTACTCCGATCAAGGCAAGCTGGTGGAGGCCGAGCAGATGTACCAGCGGGCGTTGCAGGGTAAAGAGAAGGCCCTTGGACCAGATCACACATCGACCCTGAGTACAGTCAACAACTTAGGCATCCTCTACAAAGATCAAGGCAAGCTGGTGGAGGCCGAGCAGATGTACCTGCAAGCGCTCCAGTTGGCCGAGAAGGTCTTTGGACCAAATCACACATCGACCCTTCAAACAGTCGGCAACTTAGGCATCCTCTACTCTAATCAAGGCAAGCTGGTGGAGGCCGAGCAGATGTACCAGCGGGCGTTGCAAGGCTACGAGAAGGCCCTTGGACCAGATCACACATCAACAATCAACTCAATACATTCTATAGCTCTTCTTCGGAAAGATCAAGGCAAGCTGGTTGAAGCCGAGCAGATGTACCAGCGGGCGTTGCAAGGCAAAGAGAAGGCCCTTGGACCAGATCACACATCGACCCTGGATACAGTCCACAACTTAGCTGGCCTCTACTCTGATCAAGGCAAGCTGGTGGAGGCCGAGCAGATGTACCAGCGGGCGTTGCAAGGCACAGAGAAGGCCCTTGGACCAAATCACACATCGAACCTTGCTATAGTCAACAACTTAGGCGCCCTCTACAAAGACCAAGGCAAGCTGGTAGAGGCCGAGCAGATGTACCAGCGGGCGTTGCAAGGCTATGAGAAGGCCCTTGGACCAGTTCACACATCGACCCTGAATACAGTCGGCAACTTAGGCCTCCTCTACTCCAATCAAGGCAAGCTGGTGGAGGCCGAGCAGATGTACCAGCATCAGGAGACGACAAAACCTCTCCACGAAAAGCTAAGATCTTCCCTCGATGATAACCCTATCTCGCCAAGACTTCGTCAACGCACTTCCCACAATAATACGATCTCCGAGGATTCTAGCGACACGCCACTAAAAAATAAGCGGAAGAACAGCCATAAAGAGACTAGTAAGAATAAGAAATCACGGCGGAAGGACAATTCCAAGTTGTGATATCAATAAACACACGCGCTATTGTTTACTCAATAAATCATAGAGATTTCCAAGAGTCAAGAACGCGAGTTGGCGGATGCGGAGTGGGAAGCTGAACGGGGTCTTAGTAATGATAGCAGCTCGGGTTGGAGATGAAGCAACGACTACTAAAAGCAGCAGTTGGAAAAAGCTCATTCGAAAGAATATTTTACTAAAGATATATACAGCGTCGGGAATTGGAAGAAACAGCACTAGGCAAGCTTTAGAAGATGTGAAATAAATAGAATTGAATGTTTAGCCCCACTTTGAAAAATTCTCAAATCATTTATCAATTCTCAAAAATAATGCTTTGAACGTGAGATGTTTACTAGACAGTTGTAAAAACCTGTAATTCACATTCAATTTTAGATACACATATTGGTTGTGCCTTCGCTTTGTCGTATCCGTCTTCATCTTACCGCTACTCTATACCTTAGCTAATTTTCCTGGTTAGCCCAATAGCTCCTTGGCAGAGGAGACATTGGCCAGTGCTTTGGTTAATGCTAAGCGAGGTATTTGCCACTGCTTAGCGAGGGCATGGCCTGAGTACGTATCAAGGGTTTTACCCCTGACAATGAGGTCTAGTCAGAATTATTCACCATTTAAATTCAGTCCTATAAGAAAGGTCGCGAGAAAACCCTAAGTTATCAAGGTAGGAGATCAGGCGACTCTCCTATCTGCGCCTCGCTTTATGAAGGTAGGAAAATCACGTACTTGAGGTCGCGCCCTCAACCACGTGTCCCGCATACATTTATGAAGCTATCCACAACTGTGGATAAACCAGCACAGGCCAGCTTCCCAACCAACGTAAAAGAGAGATCTCATTAAGAGTCTCTTCTCTCCTTATAATCAATCAATCTAACCAAGTCGCAATTGTCCACGTCCTTGCACTTGAACCCGTGACATAGGTAACAATATTAGAGGAAGAAAAATCACAAGACACAAAGAGGGGGAGAAAAGTATACGTTGGTTTAATACTAAGAAATATATATAGATCTATTACAACTAAACACTTCCTTTACAAGGTCTCAGTGCAATTAACAAGGTCCCCTAAATCCCAGACATCCTTGCCAAGTTGCCAACTCACGTCTACTTCTAAGATCGACCACGTCGCTTCTTTGGCTCTTCTTCATCCCGAGCATCAGGCAGTCTAGTAGCAAGCCGACTTCGCTTCTGAGGCCGCTTCCTCCCTCCGGTCCCAGTCCCAACTTCAGTTATGAAGGTATCCACCAGTTCCTTGGCTCCAGCTAGTTCAGATTCAGGCATCCACGTCTCCTTCCATTCTACCCGAAAGTGCCTCTCACGGCCAATCATTTTCTGGCCGATAATTTTGCGGATTTCCCATTGATGATTGGGATCTATGATTGGAGCAGCTTGCTGAGGTTCTTCAACGTCGGCAGGACGTCCTTGAGAAAATGAAAGAGAGTGTAGGACTTCATAGGGCGCGCTTTTCTGCGGCCTCGATGTGACTTGGTGTGTCTTAGAAGGAGCGCTATCTGATAATCCGTTACCTAAGCTGCTACCCACCGCTCTAAAGGGGCCCGATAGGTTAAGTTGCTCTGAGATATTGACTAGATGGAACTCAAGATTAAAAGCCGTGTCGCTTCCAATTCTAATACGTTTGAGAAAGCCGTGGAGGGGCCACTCATGGTACTCTGCAGCTGTCTCTGACTCCGATGCAGCAGAGTAGCTCTGGTAAAGTGAAAGAAAGTTGCTCATCAACCACATACGTTGGTAAACACTGGCGTGTGGGCTTAGACTGCACATCGTCTAAGTCGTCTTGCTGCTCCTCTCGTGGCATATACATCCCTTCTATCGCTCCTAAGACGCCTCCAACCTCGTACTGCTGCTCATCCACTTCTCCCTCAGCTTCAGGTTGCCTTACCAAATCTTCCCTTTCGCCCTCTCTTGGAGCCTCGACCTGAGAGGCATCTCCTAGCCCTTCTGTTCTAGTTGAAATGGATTCGGCCTGGAAATAACTATCGTCATGGTTCTGTAATCGTGCAGGAGAGCGACGGCGAGGATCTGGTGGAGGTGACAATAACTTGTCTTGTTCTTCAAAAGCTTGTAGCACTTCACTTCCAAGGGCTGAGGGGTTGTCCATACTCCCTCCCATGTTACTACTGTCGAAAAGTGCTAGCTCATTTCTCCCGTCATCTGCGCCTACACCCGTAGGCCGTAGACAGGGCGTGGGATCCTCTGATCTCCCTTGCGAGTTGGAGTAGGATAGCCCGGCTGGAGAGAGAGAGCAAGGTCGAGGTCCTGTAAGAGCCAAGTCGTCTCGCTCTAACGGAAAGAGTGGAGGCTGATTATCATTAACCCAATTATTATCAATTTCCTTCCATGCTTCGTGACTAGCTGGATCAGCTGGCTTGTTCGACTCGAGGACAGCATCAGCTCTAATTTCAAGCAAGGTAGAGCCAGAATTAGAGGCAGTATCTGAATCAAGGTCGAGCCTGTCATTATCATCGTCCAGTGTAATCGGTTTGTCTACATATTGTTAGGACTACTTACTGCTATGATAGGGTCTGACTTACCTCGAGTGCCTTGAGTGTGTGTTCTTACTGAAGTCTGTTGGCTAGAAGGTGGATATAAAATATCTTTGACAGATGGCAATTCATCATTTGAATCGCCTTCTGCCTCGCTCTCAGAATTGGTAAGGTCTTGAGTGTAGCCTGCGATTTCATAGCACATTAGTCAGGCTCTTTCTAAAGTTCTCCAAGTCTTTCTTACCTCGATTGCTAATCCTGTCATCTTTGGGCTGATGGCCTCGAGACAGCGCCATAGCAGAGTTGGACTGGCTACTGCGATTCGTTGCTGGGAGTGTATGGTCTTTGGATTTCGTTGCGCGATTTGACTCCAAAGGGGGCTGCCAAAACTGGACATTGTTTAAATTAACAGCAGCCATACTAAAAGAATGATCAGTCGATGAGAGGAGAACGGTTGACGGATGGTAAAAATACTGATTTCATGGGTTGGCTGGTCCTTAAATAAATTACAGCAGTTTATGTAGCCTTCTCATGTCCTGCCCCGTGTGCCCATCTGCCGTTCACAATTGCCATGTTATTACTGCTGGGACCATGGAACAAGGTGAATCTGTACGCGCGTAAAATAGACCATTTTCCTATTATTCTTCCCCACCCTGCCTTCCCCCCTCGTGTGCCAAGTTGTCAGCCCATCTACGAGGTAGTTCTCATCGTTTTAGGAATTCAACCTTGCCCTCCTCCACTCTCATGCACAATTGACCTTGGCCCAATCTTCCTCGTCCGGATAACACCGTCTTGCGACTGCTAGTCCATACGGCGCCATTCCCAAGGGAGAGGAGCCCGTCGTGTCGATTCAATGCGTCTTGAACGTTTGTAGAGATTTTGCGTTCCGGGTCTGGTCTGTCTTTTATGCTCCGTAGCTGTGATCTGCGGATTCTGCTGCTCTGCCTAGCTCACTTCGCATACCAAATATGTCCCTCCATCCCCTTCAATCCCGTATTTTCGTGTCGAGACGAGACAAATCGTGACTAGTACATGGATAGACGTAATCTTTTGACGGGTCACAAAGAGCCGGATGTCGTATTTGGTCTGTAACTTGCTGGAACAGCTCCTATGATCCAGTCCGCTGCTGCCACCTACACAGATGCCGGCCCTTTTGTCGCCAATTAGCCTAGATCCAAGAAGTACCCTGCCACAAAAGTCTCGTGCTAGAACTCACCGCCAGTTTTCTCCTGCAGCTGCTAGCATAGATCTTTTCTGCAACAAGGCAGGTCCTGGCTGCGACATTGCTGAGACATTTTCTCCATTGGCCAGGTCGTGGGTGTTAGGTACTGCCAAAGCAAAATCCCACCGCTTGCCGCTTAGCCATTGCTGTCCTAGGTGTAATCGTGCGACGGCGAGGTCGAAGAGATACCTGATTTCAGCCCATATTGGCTCCTGTGCTCGTATCTCAGCCAGTAAAGTGCAGATCACCAAGAGCAAGAGGGTCACCGTTGCAAACGTAGGAGTATCGAAGGCGGACGGAATTAACGGGTGCGCAGCCAGATTTCAGCTGCGGCGAGTCCGACGGCGGGGGTGAGGGTGGGCCAGGTGAGAGGCATGGATGGCCTACGATGAAAGGGGCCAAGCGGTCGAAAGGGGTGGTTGGAAGAAAATTGGAAGAGGAGGATGGTCGAGGGGTGAGGAGCGGGGAGCTTTATACCTCGCGAAAGCGGCGTCGGGCCCGTGCACGCGCCTTGCCTGATGCGGCGGCCGCTAAACCCGGGGGGGCCAACACCACGCCGCGGATTATAATATAAATTTTTATTTCTCGACGATCGTATATAAACTACCAACTTTGACGTTTTATATAGTATTTACTATTATTTCCTACTAGTACCTATACTATATATTTGTTAGTATTATTTACAAGCTATTAGATTATATAATTAGTGTAACGGAACGGTGAAAGATACTGCTATTCCACTACTTAGAATCTAAAGCTAAGGAGAGAAGAGCTATCTGAGGAGAAAACCCGAGGTTCTTATGCCAGAAACACCACACACCCAACAGCTCCTTATCCCCCGCGTCTCCCACATCCCTTATCACGCCACGATGAGGGATTTGATGTGTTGTCCTGTTTGCTTAAAGAGTTTTCTGAGGGAGTTGTGTGTTGGCATGTTTGCTTGAAGAGTTTTCCTTCATTGTTTGTTTGCTTGAAGCGTGGGACATGCATGCTCGCTTAGGCAGCGCAGCCACTTGTCCCGCGGTCACGAGGAAGAATAACCGAATCGCGACATTCGACCCGTGACAATTAGGAAAGAAGAGCTCGAAGAAGGTAATTAGATCGTTAATATCGTAGGAATAAGGTAAGTTTATCTTCTATAGTCGAGGGGGGTCTAGTATATCTAAAGGCTCGAATTAAGCTAATGTCACGAATCACATGCTCACGTGATACTTGTCATAATAAAGAGGCGCAACCCTCGACAGGCACATCCAGGTTTCTTATAGCAAATAGGGATTGCTTAGGCCAGCTAAGCGATCCATGGATTTCATTTGGTTGTTGTCACGTGATGGACCCCGATGGATCCAGGAGGGATCCAAAGGGATCCACGGATCCAGAAGGGATCCAGTAGAACGAAGGTTCTATATAAGACTGGCACTTCTGCCATTAGATAGGAGCTTCGTGCTCAACTTAGTTATCAATCTTATCATATTAGTTTGACATCTTTGATACAAGTAACGAGTTCACTTCCAAGTGAACAACCCGATAGTCTTCTTCTTATCATAGCATACCAACCAGCGAACACCCAGCCAAGTTTAGTTAGCCAGTTTGAGTATTCGTTACACGACATGGCCGACGAGTCGACCATGGCGACCACTGAGAACGAAGGTTCTATATAAGACTGGCACGTCTGCCATTAGATAGGGGCTTCGTGCTCAACTTAGCTTACTTAGTTATCAATACCTTTTGACTTCGACGACTCAGTACAAGTGACGTGTTTACCTCTGAGTAAACAGCCCGGCGCATCTGATCTTCTTATCTGCATACCAACCTTTGAAGCGATTACTTTTGTTAGATAGTTTGAGTTTCGTCACAATAATATAACGAGATCTTCGGGGCGCTTTAGTAGTAATTTATACTAGAATTACCGGTCTAGGAGTAGTTTAAATAGGCACTTAACAAAAGGAAATCCCTGGATCGCTTAGCTAGCCCAATCGATCCCATTTGCTATAAGAGCGTTCAATAGTGCTTGACTTGTCAGGACGCCGCCTGGTCTTCACTTCTCACGCGCCAACACGTGATTCGTGACAACTAGGAGTATGGCTAGCCTAGTTATATTAATAATCTTAGCGATTCTTAGTAAATACTTTACCTATTCCTTATACCTAGTTTCGCTAGTAATTATAGTAAGTCGATTTTTAAAAATCCGATTAGTAGCTTCTATAGATCCTTAAGTCTAAGGGTAGTAGGAACGTCCTTATATAGTAAATATATATTATCTATCTATAAGAGCTTAAACCTTTCCCTTAAATTTAGTACTATTATTATAATACTTATATAAAAGTAGTTAGCGAGGTATAGGGTAGTAAGGTATATAGTTATACTTATAGTTAAATAGGAGATCTATTTATATATATCTACTTCTCTAGAATATACGTAATAGTTATCCTCTTTTTATTCTCTATTAGTTCTAACTAGATTATATAAGAAAAATAATCCTTAAGCTAATAAATCTAACTATACTCTCTATCTATATTAGACTAAAAGTCTATAAGGTTAATATATAAGTAATAACTAACTACTTTAGAAATAATAGGCGTAATAGATAGCTTTATTATAACTTTTACTAGAAGGGTGAAAATTTTTCACGTGATATTTTGACGGATATATCTCTGCCACCAGAGGGGCAGGCCTCCTGGGAGGAGAGGGGAGTGGTTGAAATTCTAGCTGCTATCGTTTGGTTGAGCGGGATTGATGGAATTCGAAGAAAAGTTTTCCTCGAAAAAGTTGTGTGGTGGTTTTACCTTTAATTCTAGCGCTAGTATATAACTCTAACCCTGAGCTACTTTACGATATACGACTTACGATTTCCTATAAAATAACCTTAAAAGTGACTTTTGCGATTTTTGATTTAGTTATCTGGTTTAGTAGTAGATTCGGGATGCCGTAATATGAGACCGAGGTTTCGGAAATTGAAGATTGGATTTGAGTAGTATTGATTAGAGGTGGAATTTTGGGTTAGAGTTACTGTGTAAGGTATGGTAAGGTATGGTGAGATTGAGATTGAAATTGCAATTGGGGAGGGGAGGGGGAGGGGGGCAGGGCAAAAGTAAATACACTTCAGGGTCCAGGGAAGGTGAATAGGTTAGGTTGTGATAAAAACATAGAAATTGTACTGCTAATGAGAGTTGTTGGCGAAGATATGAGGATATCATGCTCCCGTCGTTTTCAAGGGTTGGAAAGGGAGTTAGTTACGTGTCTCGTCACACTTCACCTCTTTGTTCCCGATAAGTTCATTCCTTCCAGAAGATTTTAAATACTAAAAAAAGTCTGGCACAGCAAAAAGGATCTTTCTTGCTTGCGTATCTAACTGGTAGGTAGGTAACATATTTAACGACGTTCTCCGTTAGGGGTAGAAAAGGGTTTTGAGATTATATAAGAGGAGTGCCATGGCTGGGTCCTCCCCCCGGCCCGACGTTGAGGACTATCTTTTCTTTTTAGTACTTGTTAGTAAATATTCCGAGTCTACTATTTATTTCTACCTCGGATAGTGGATCTACCCAGGGATTAGTTATGGGTTATAAATATATTAATATAGACTAAGTTATATAGAAATACATTTCTTAATATCTTTTTACTAAATAATTTATCGATATTAGAGAGTACGAGAAACTAGTATTTATAGAAAATCCAAGTATATCGACTTTATATAAGACTTTACATGAGAATATTTAGTAAAAAAGATTATATATATAATCTAGACAAGTTAAATAAATGAAATAAAAGTAAGAATATTTTCTTTCTATTATTTCTTTCCTTCTCGCGTAAGTATATCTTATAAAAGCTATTTAAGATCTTTCTTAAATAATTCAAAATTTAGAGATTAAGTTTATTAAAGTAATGTTTATTTACTCTCTATTTGTTTTACTCCTTTTCGCGTAAGTTTATTGAATAAAAGCTAATAACGTGGTTTATCAGCGAGTCGATCATATCAGCGAGTCGATCACTTTTCCTTGGCACTACCTCCTCAAACTTCAACACACGTTTTCTTCAACTATTTACCATGGAAATTCAAACTCAAGAAGCGCAAATTACTCTAGCTATCGAGGCTATTCGGTCGTCCAAAAAACTAAGCAAACGCTCTGCGGCAAAGATCTACAATGTACCATATACGACTCTTTCCGACAGAATGGCTGGCCGAACCTACCGCCCAGATTCTCAAGCCAATTGTCATAAGTTGACTGAGTTAGAAGAGGAAGTGATTATTCGGTATATACTGGATATGGATTCCAGAGGATTTGCGCCCCGGCTCGCTGGTGTAGAAGATATGGCTAATTTTATCCTTGAATCGCGGGGGGGAAGACGCGTCGGCAAGCTCTGGGCCCATCGATTCGTACAACGACAACCAGACCTTAAGACGCGTTTTAATCGCGTTTACGACTTCCAGAGGGCCTTATGCGAAGATCCTGACGTGCTAGGCGCATGGTTCCGGCTAGTAGAGAATATGAGGGCGAAATATGGGGTTACAGACTCCGACTTCTACAACTTCGACGAGACAGGCTTTATGATGGGTGTTATTTGTCCTAGAATGGTTGTTACTCGTGCAGACCGACGTGGTAGAGGCAAGGCAGTTCAGCCAGGCAATCGGGAATGGGCTACAGCAATTGCCTGTATTAATGGGGAGGGCTGGAGTATTCCTCCATTCTTGGTAGTTCAGGGCAAGAACCATCTCTCCAACTGGTATACCGACGGCGGCCTCCCACCTAACTGGGTTATGAAACCGACAAGCAATGGTTGGACAAATAATGAAACAGGCCTGGAATGGTTAAAGCACTTTGATAAACACACTACAGCTCGTGCAAAGGGTCTGTATCGAATACTAGTTTTGGATGGGCACGAGAGTCATGAATCGGCTGAGTTCCAAGACTACTGTACGAAACACAACATTATTACTCTTGGACTACCTCCTCATTCATCCCATCTAACCCAGCCACTTGATGTTGGGTGCTATAGTGTGTTAAAACGAGCGTATGGTCGGCAGATTGAGACGTTTATCAAGGCCCATATCAACCATATTACAAAGGTTGAGTTCTTTCTAGCCTTTACAGCAGCATACAAGGAAACAATGACAGTCCTAAACTGTCAGTCTGGATTCCGCGGAGCTGGCCTAGTACCATTTAACCCGCAAGCAGTGCTTTCAAAGCTTGACGTAAGGTTACGGACTCCAACTCCCCCTCGGACGTGTAGTGCCAACTCCCTCCCCTGGGTGTCCCAGACCCCTTCCAACCCAACTGAAGCCCTTTCACAATCAACTCTTGTACGAAATCGTATAGCCTGTCATCAAGGAAGCTCGCCAACTCCACTTTTTCAAACAGTTGCTGCGTTAGCAAAGGGTACAGAGCGAATGGCACATGAGATGACCCTTTTGTCTGCTGAGGTCCGTACCCTTCGCGCTGCAAATGAAGCCCTAAGTAAACGCCGTAGGGCTAAAAAGACTCGTGTCCGCCAAGGAGGGGCACTTATAGTAGAGGATGTACAGGATATGTTAGCTCAGGAGGATGTAGATGAGCAAGTACGACGCGACATGCGTGAGGCGGGGGTTGGTTATAAGGAGGGGCAACCTTCTAGGCGGCGCTGTAGAACTTGTGGAAAAGCTGGTCATAACGCGCGAACTTGTCAAGAAGTTATAGATATATCTAGTTCGTCAGATATAGAGAGCGATAATTAATTTAATATATTGTGGTTGATTTATTTAGGTGTAAAGTTCTGTGCCAAGAAAAAGTGATCGACTCGGTGATATGATCGACTCGCTGATAAACCACGTTATAGAAATCGATTAAATAATTCAATTATTCAAATAGAAGTAAAATGTATCTACTTTTACTTCTTTTTTCTGTTTTGCGTAACTCATCTAAACTTGTTGCGTTGTTCAAATCTTGTCGCGTAATAAAGTAGTCCATGTGTTGTTCTACCACATAGAGAAAAATAGGCGAAAGTTCGGTTGCTACGCAAAGAAAGATTCCAAACCACCCAAAACAAACACACGACCGAGCAAGAAAATTCAGAATCGCGAGCACCACAACCACTACCACCACTACTAACAAAGATGGCGCCCACACCAAAGGGAGTTGCTTTCGCAGAGCACCCCGTAAGTCATTGAATTGATTTGATTTCATACTAGTCACTCAATAAAAATATAGGAATTCCTCACCACCCCCGCAACCCCCACCAAGCCAGCCTCACTCGTTGGACTCAAGCCGGCTCTCAAGCCATCCTCTTCAGCGCATGTCGACCCTGAAAAAATCCCCTCTGAGGATCTCTTGTCTGCCACCATGTTTAGCGATCTCGGCAAGCACGACTATCCCAAGAACGGTGAGGTTCTTGGGAAGTTGTTGGACAATCTGGAAGTAAGCTCATTATTCTTACTCGAGCAGTAACGCGAATTTATTGTTGACAATATGGCATAGACCCGGTTCAAGGAGGCAGAGGAGAAGCATGCAGCCAACCTTGGTGCCCCAACCCCCGACCCGCCATTTACCTACCTGTCAAAGGGTGGTGTAACATACCTGGACGTCGTTGATAACATGGCGGTAAGTTCAGCAATGCAACATTAGTTTACTTGCAAACGTACTGATCTGGAGGAAATCAGAGCGCAATGCAGCAGCTGCAATTGAAGCAGCAAGCCAAAACCAACCTGCTCCAATTGATCGACGAGGAAGCAGCCGCCCAACGGGCAAAAATTGATGAGAAGCTTGCTGCCCTCCGCCCCAAACTCGCCGCCGCCACCACCAAGTTCAAGGCAGCAGCGCGCAAGCGCACCTTAGCCGAGCGGGAAAAGGCCGAAGCAGCAGCAAAGTACGAAACCATTGTTGCCGGTTTGAATGCCATCGAAGCCGAAATCGAGGCACTAAAATCCGCCAAGTTATCGCCAAAGGAAGCGAGCGGCAGAGGAGGAATTGGAGAATGCCCAGCTTGCGGAGATGGTGTCGTCTAGTAGAGCCAGAATGGCTTGTACGGACGCTTTGGTGGAGTTTTCGGAGGCAAATACTGCGTGTTCCGTTGCGGAACGAGAGCTGGAGCAGTTGAGAATGATCGAAAAGGAGTTACTTGAGTCGCATCCTTAGGGACAAAGAAGAGTTGACTTGGTATTTACTCTTGGTCTTTGGCGAATTGTTGTTAGACGGGGGGTTTTTACTTTATTCGATTAAAGTAACTGGGGGACGGTTGGAATTGGCGTTGGTGGTTTGGGAATGATAGTTGGTGGGATGGAACGATGTGTGTGTGACTAGATACCCAAGATTTGGCAATATATGTCACGGAAGCCCTCTTTGGAGGCACTCCTTCGGGAGTTTCAAACTTGTTTTTTTGTGGTTTGGGTTGTTTGAGTGTCATTTTTCGTACCTTTGCCAAAGGATCTACACCTCTTTGAGAACTTCTTTTCAATGAAACATCGCATCCCTCGCACATGAATTCTGAAATCAATTTTGTCACAATGCTCGAGATACCGGTCTGGAGACCAGAACAGAACCGGAGCAAGTGAACCTCACGAGCTTCTTTTGTAACTTGTATAATCTAGGTCATACTCGATCGTTAGAAATGACTTACTAAATGAGTTGTCATCAAAAACTCCCAGAGAATTTGAGGCGGCATTAGCTTGCAAAAAATGGATAATTCATTCTTGTAAGTAGCTAGCTACAGTAACGTGTTTCCCACGTCTACATGTAAGGTCAAACCAAGTCGCCAGCGATCATCCATCCTATCACTATACATAATTACCACGCCAGCGTGGCATTAATCGAGAAGTGTTGGGCGTCATATTCATCCAATTCATATTCGCCTTGAAGGTCTTTCACCCTTGAAAGATTGAGGGGATTTGGAAGAACATGTCGCCATACTTTAGGTCTTCAATCACTATCTTCCGAAACACTCTCTTCTAAAACACTCTCATCCACACCATATCGACCAACCAGTTTCCGACAAAGATCCGAGAAATCCAGGTCTCTCCCGCTAAGCGTCTCTCTGTGGTAAGTGAGAGCGGGACCTTTGAGCATAATATTAAAGCCCAATACCAATTTTTTTCAGGCACGCCTTCAACCCTGCATCTGCGAATAAAAGTACGTCGGTGCTTCGAAAAATCAAGAGAAAGATTTGTTTCATGACCGCTAAATCTCTCAGAGAAGGCGCATTGTTGATCTATCTCTTCGAATTCGCTTGTATAAGTTCCATAGTTTGGCTTCATACTCCATACGTCGTCATCTGGCCAATATAGTGAACCCCTTGTGACAAGTGTATTGTAAAGAGTGTTGGCGACGTCTTCTGACTGGTTGACATATACTCCTCGGCTACGAAGTGTCTCGCGTAGCTTTAGAAGCGCTGGTTTCTCAACCTTCGTGAACCATACCTTAGACCAGGCAAAGAAATCACAAAGAAATTGTGCCCATAGAAACCGCTCTTCCATTTCCCCGTTGTAATACTTCTCGGTATATTCTTTAACGGTCCTTGTGTATGAATCTTTCGGGATAAAATACGACCGCGTCCCCATCAACGGCTTAACCACTCCTTCATAATTCGTATAATACCGGATTCTCTAAAGACACCTCCATCATATAATTCTGGTGGGAAGTCCTTGTCTCTTGTGGCGATGGTGTTTTCTTCTGGAAGTAGTTTCCGGTCTTTATCGGTTCTGTCATTTGATTCATGGCGGAGGTACTCGATTAAAGAGGAGTCTGACATGATGATACTGGTGTTCTCGGTATCCCTTTCGACGCTGGTATGACCGACAACAGCTTCTGATATGCCAGGCAAGTATTTCTTCGAAGAGATATGTAGCGGTTCCGAACCAAAGATAACGCGGACTTGAAGTTTGGGAGTTGTATCAAAGCTGTAATGTAATGATCAAGGTTTGTTTGTTGTTTGAGGTTGACGAAGTTATCTCTCACTTCACATCTGGGGCTCTGCTTAAATAGAAGTTCTAGCGGGAATCACAATCACGAAGGTATATTGGCGGTGATTAACACGCATATGGGATGAGTACGCGGGTATTGATTCATCTGGCACAGTATATGTGGCCTGTTGACTAAATCGTTCCGCCTCCCGAAGAAACATGACTGTGAATGACACCTACTCTGGCATATGGTCGACACATAGATCACGGGATCGCTTGCATCCATGCTGGGGCTACAATCTTCCATGAGACAGGGCGTGGACTGGCAAGAAGCTTGAGGCTAGCTATGTACTCCCAACTAAGCGTCTTAAGTGAGTTAAGAATAAGTGAATGCTACCTGTTAGATCCAAATAGTATGTCAGGCTACAAGCATCTAGGCATAGTTAGCTACTCTGTCCTGATCACCACATAGCTACAAAGAAAAAAGCAGAATAGGAAGCGGAATATATCCCATTAAATTTTCCTCCCTATTTCTAACAGCGGCACTATGTGAGAAGCTGCCAATAAAAAACCCTCATCCCCAAAAAAGAAATAAAACAACTTTTTCCGTCCCGGGAAAATGCAAAAAAATACGTTGGTGGGTATCCTACGTTTTTTCATTCCAAGAACCATAAAACGCCCAAGGATGCCTATACAATGCTTCCACTCCTCCTTTTCATCTTTCTACCTCTCCATTCGCTTTTTCCACCTCGCTCCATCACCAACATTACCTCCATTCATCGTTGCGTATTTGAGAGAAGTTCACATCATAAACCCAATAGGCATCTGCCGACTATTCGTCGAGTTCCGATGCTGTCTCTGACTCAAACCCACAGCCTGACCCTGCTGTCTCGCCGCAACCAAGATCTCAAAAGCGTCAACTCTCGCTCTGAGATTCGAGTTCTCGCGGTTGAGGAATTTATTCCTTTTTTCGAGGTGGGCTATGTATTCTGTTGCTTTGGCGAGGACGGTCGCCTTTATTGTGCGTTAGCTAAAAATCCACCTCTCGAGGGAAAAAGGACAAAGACCCGTCCGGTGAGGGGGAAAGAAACATACCTTATTCAACTTATGCGCTGGCGTCAACCCCTGCAGATCTTCCTCCTCCTCTCCGTTCCTCGAATTCTTCTTGCTCATCACCCTCAGACTCGGAACGGAATCTCTCAACGCTGCAATCTTATCATTTAAATTCGTTCGGTAGCGTTTCTCAATCATGTTATGAGCTGTCTTCTTAACAACGGGGTGCTTGGTGGTGGTTTGTTCGTAGTCCTCATCGTCCTCATCTTCGATACTGTTCTTACGCTTCTTTCTTCTGTCGACGAAAGGCTCGGGTGAGGATGTGGATGAAGGAGAGGCTGGGTGAGATACAGCTTCGGGGATAATAAAATTCTTGGACTGCAGTTGTGGGGGCATAGCGATATTCCGCAACCGAGCTTCTTCTTCTGGGGAGAGTGTACTGGTCGAGAAGCTTTGGGAGCGCGAGCCGATTGTTGGTCGTGACCAGGAGAGAGGTGTGGAGTAAAGGTTCTCTCGTTGTTGGATTTCAGAAACGAAGGTGTTTGGTGATTGGAATAATGGGGCGTCACCCATAGGATCGTCACAGAAAACGGCACATTCGTCATTGCTCATGGGTAGTCTTGACATTCCGTTGTTTCGAATCTCTAAGTTTGCCATTGCTGGAGAATTTGGTTCGACTTTGAGCTCAGGGAAGAAATTGGTTACGGGCGACAATGCCGCGTCACTGGGGTCTTCCCAACGCATCCAGTCCTCGAACGAGCCGAAATTGAAGGCTTTTTCTGCTAGGAGGTCGGATGAGAGTCCTTCTTTTGGCAGGCCGCAGTTATCGATGGCGTCGGCAAAGACGATCGAGCTTGGCGATGATGGGGAGGCGAGTGTGGAATTGCAAGAGTCTGAAGCACCAATATCAAAGGCAGCGTCGTCAAAGACGGCTGAGTCCCAAGCAAATGGTGATGAGCTGGTTTTGCTGTTGTTCTGCGGAGAGATGGGATTAGCTATGCGCATTCTAATCGTTATTAAGTAATGAGGACATAGCCTTGAGTACCACTGTTTGAACTTGCTATATGATCTTGACAATTGCGATCATGCTTTCAGATGTGTATTCAGTCTTCGGACGAGAATCACAGCTTGGTTGAAAGAAGAAACTGGGGGAAGGAATATGAAAACTTACTTGAGATTTCGAAGACTCTAATGAGAAATAATCAACTGCCGGTATCCCTTGCGCAGTAGTGCTCGACATTGGCATAGACCGGACAATGTTGTTGATAGCTGCAAGTCTGGCTTGCTGTAATTAGAAAAGCCCGAAAGTTGTCAAAGTATGTGAGAGGATGTTGTTTTTTGAGTTATGATAAGCGGAACAAGCGTGAAATATGGTTCGGGTAAAGTATACAATGGATGATATGGTTTGTATAATCTAATTTTTTGAGGCTTGATGTGATGACTATATGAATTGGGAGGAGAAGAGAGCGTGGTGTTATAAGTATGGAAAAGAACATATTTACGAGGTTCCTGTGGGGGTCGGTACAGCAGAAATTCTCAAAATGACCGTAAGTACGATCCAAGGACATAACCGGGGACGTTTGCTCAAGAACACGTTCGAAACTAGGTCTTAGAGTGAGCCTCAGGGCCGGTTTTAACTCGTGTCATACGAGGAGTGCAGCGGGATGATGTGACTTTTAGAGATATGTGGGTCTTCGGCTTGAAGAAGAGACCGCAGGGAACATAGGAGGCTACGATATAAATATTGTCGGGGGACTCCGCACCAAGGAGGTGGAGGATGTTGAGACTGCAATTCCTGCTCTCATACAGTCCTCGGCTTGTGAATCGGCAGCTAGTTCGGTTCTATCCGGCAATTTTAATTTGTGGCTATCTGTTTCTAGACTCAGCAGTGCATTGGATTGCTGAGGGCAGCCCTAATAATTACAACGAGAATGAAAATGCTGCGCTTGCTCAGCAAAAGTATCACTCAGACTCTTGGCCTCCAATCGTAGGCCTCTTCTTTTGAGGCTCGCCCCAATACCGATGCACTACCTCCGTTCAAGCGAAAATTCGTTGAGGGAGCAAAGAGTTTTTAAAAAATTGTCAAATCGAAAGAGAATTCGTGTTATGAGGTGATGTTCCAGATCTTGTCACGCCACTTTTGCGAAGACCCTCCGCGGCTTGCTGAGTAAACATTGGACAACCACATGATAGGTTAGAATTCAGAGAGTAGCATAAAGAGTGGTACAACCCCTACACAAATGTTATGCAAAGTACACACACCACACATATCTCTTGAGCTTACTCCCTGTGAGCTCCCCCACTGGTGTAAAAACCTGGTGAGAAATTCACATGAATGCGTTCGCTTTCGGTAATCGGCGCCAACTACTACGTTGCTCCTCAGGTTTCTCCTATCTACCTCATAGCTACTTTGGTTTTGAATAAATAATTTACCTATCCACTGACCACCACTTTTCTCCCCACTGGTCATCATTTTACTTGCATCATAGCGATTTGTGGTCATGCATTACACCTATGAGATACTTCCTCGTGGTTCCCATAAGGTTCTGGCGGTAACCAATATGTTTAAAAATATATGCAGCGGGGAACTCGGAAGAGGAAGAAAATGATAGAAAGAATGACCACTGTCTCATCCAAGTATTACTCTACCACAAACTCTCAGCTATCTCCAAGAAAAGATGAGACAGGCGTGATGGATGTATCTCGCTGGTTCTGGACACCAACTTTATGTCCTAGGTCAAGTGCTTAAGACATCCACAGGTCACGACTATCAAACATTCGGGTTCGCTTGACCAATTATAATTTGGAAAACATTCCAATACTCTAGCATGTACCAAGTCCATGTATGATGTACGTATATCATCTCGCGTACTTTGTACTCGGTACCCCTTTTCCGCCTCAAAAAGCAGTACATCGGCCCCGGACACTCTATTGTTTCTCAAACTACGTCAAGTACTTCCCCACGATTCTTTTTTTGCGGTATATATTTCCCTTCGCAGCTGAATCTTGAGCCTTAATACTATTGTTCTTACTTCACAGCTTCCCTAGCACAGAACAATCCGACATTCTTGAAAGGATTTCTTTTGCTTGAAAGAAGCTCTTCAATGTCAGGATAATAAGAAAATAATACTCTATGACTTGGTACAAGCAATGTACCGGTATATTAACTAGCCAGGTACGAGTACGATCAGCCCAATCACATGTAGTGGAGTGGGGTGGCTTTTAAAGTTTCTCGTGGGCTTGCTATGCGAATTGGCCCGACGCGAGAATGCCATTGCCCACTCTTTACACTCCGTTGTTTAGTGCATTTTTATATTAATAACTTACTCAACCTCACCATCTTCAATGTCACCCTCGAAGATTCTCAAATCAATTTAGAAGAGGAAGGGAGGGACTGTACAGGACCGCACTGAGCATCAAAATTCCTTGACGCCACAGTGTGGCTGAGAGAACCCCAACCCCAGCCCCAGGTACGGGTAGTAGCCCATAGATCTTCGATGATCTCCATTGCCAACGCTTCACCTGCAGGTCAACCAGAACGGTACCGTTCAGCAAAACCCTGGAATATTCACATTCACATTCACTTCTGAGACTTTTCATCCAATTATACTTCTTTCCGCCCTGAACACCCTGAGCTCTCTCGAAGATCCCGATCCCGACTTTCCAGTTTACCCCTCCCCACATGATACACCGCGTGAACCCTTTCAATCTGCATTTCCCACGGCCAACACTCCCTCTGCGTCGCATATGATGTATATCGGAGACCCTACTGCGAGGACCGTAATCATCAATCAATATGGATGAAGCAGCTGACTCCAAGAGGAGGCGCGGACTGGGAGTTGTTACGCCCAATGCATGTAAAGAGTGTCGAAAGAAGAGAGCAAAGGCATGCCACAACTACCATTTCAGCGTCGCATATTCTCTATTGCTGTTTACTGACTCCTCTTCTCTTTCTAGTGCGATGGCCAAGTTCCATGCGGACGATGCACCACTCAGCGCGGCGTCGAATGTGTCTACGAGATTCCCGTGCGCCAATCGAAGGAACATATGAGGAGCGAGATTGAACAATTGAAGACAAAACAACGCCAGAGCGAGCGCGTGTTATCAGCCCTAGTCCAGGACGATCAGCCAGCTCAAATTATTGAGAGGCTCCGTCGTGGGGAAACATTGGAGAGCATAAGCCAACAATTGGAAGGCCAAAGTTCTGCGTCAACGTCCATGTCGCCTGCTGGTGCAAATATAACATCATTCTCTCGACAGATTGATCATCAAGTAATTGCAGACGCTTTGCAGCCTGCCATTCATACCGAATCTCGTATCACTCCGCGCTTTGAAACATTCGGTCTGTTTGGAGAATCGCAAGGGAACTTTGCCGATATCCACAACAATCAAGCGGGTGCGGTCCAGCAAGACGACCCCATGGTGTGGGATCCACAAACTCTACCGTCTGGTCATCACGCCCTTCCTACCCGCGGTCTCGTTGGAACATGGCATCGAGAGGTGGAAACGGTCTCGACTCCTGATAGTGCGACCCAAGATGCCAGAGATAAAGGTCAAAATACCATCTTGGGGGAGTTTGATTCTAATGATTGGCATTTCGGAGGAGGAACTGCTCATTTGAATGAGACTTGGACAAACGTTACTTCTGACAACGCTTTCGTCGAGCATCTCATGGCTTTGTATTTCTGCTGGGAATATCCAACATTTGCTTCCCTAAGCAAAGAGCATTTCCTGGAAGGGTACAGAACCGGAAGCAAGACGTACTGCTCGCCCATTCTCGTTAATGCTATCTTGGCTCTTGGATGTAGGTTTTCCAATCAGCCGCAATCTCGTTCAGACCCCGCAAATAGCAATACGGCAGGCGATCATTTCTTTGCGGAGGCTACGAGATTGCTGGAAGCAGAAGATGATAGACACGTTTTGACCACCATCCAAGCCATGGGATTAATGTCCATTAGAGAGGCTAGTTGTGGGCGTACTAGTGAGAGTATATTTCTGGCAGGCCAGTCAATCAAATTAGCCATTGAATTGGGACTACACAAGGATGGTGATTTCCAAGGCGACTTGTCTAGCGCTGAGCAAGCAGAGAGTGCTGTACGTTCAGCTACATTTTGGGGTGCTTTCTCCTTAGACCAGTAAGTCTTTCTAATTTGCAAAAAATCCACATATTTCAGATGGAGATACTGACCTTGGTTTTTAGAGCATGGTCACTTAGTATTGGTCGAATACCACAATTTTCGCGTGATATCAAACTTGCTGCGAAGCCCAAAATCGTCGCACATGTCGAGGCTTCGAATTGGATCCCATATACAGACGATGGTAATTTAGCTATTTTGTTCAATATCTAGCAACACGTAAAGCTAACTTAGCAGGGGAACCACTAGAACGTCCTTGTACGCAACCTTCAAATGTACGAAGCGTTTTCAAAACTTTCTGCGAGCTTTCGGAAATTTTTCACACAAGTCTTTACCAACTTTATCATCCGGGTAAATCAATAACTAATAGGGCTCTGCTCGATTGTTATACCGGATTCTTGAAGTGGTATGCGGCTATCCCAGAATCATTGAGGTTGGGGCAGAACTTCACACCGTCTGTTCTTTTCGTCCAGTAAGTCTTTCTTCCCTTAAAACCAATATTTCGATGCTGACTGTTGAAGTATGTATTACCACTACGCCATCCTTCTCCTCTTCAGGCCTTTTATGAAACTGAAAATGATCGATTCCGGTGTCTCCCCCAAAGACGTCTGCAACCAAGCAGCCGAAGCAATATCCGCCCTCGTAAATTCCTACTCCCAACTTTACACACTCCGTCGCACCCCTTCATTTGTCCCATACTTCGTCCTCACCTCCAGCGTCGCGCACGCCGTCACCATGGGTCTTGAGAAAACCGGACCTGCGGCTCTACAACAGGCTATCAAGTATTTGAAAGAGATGTCGGGATGTCACGGCTTTGCAAAGCGCGGTCTGCAAATACTGTATTATCTGATTCGGCATTGGGGTATTGAGGCTGAAATCGAGGGTGAAGTTGAGGAGGGAGGAGAAAGGAAAGACGGGGATAAGGTAGGTGTTCAACCTAGTCCTACGGGGTTCAATCTTTATTCTCCGGATATTGGGGATTTGCAGAGTCATGGAATCGGACGGGTGGAGGAGGGGGAGAATCCACTTTTTTGGACATATCCTCTGCAAGGACGGCCGTTGTTGGATGTTGAGGGACTGGAGGGGGCGGGGTTTAGGTTGTTATGATGGGGTGCGTAGGGGGGCATTTAATGTGATAATGTGGGATGGGGGATAAAAGGGATCTTCACCGCGGGCGTTTTTAGACCCTTTTGTGTGGTGTAGAGAATAGAAGTATCTGGCCCCACTTGCGAACTCGGGGATATCGAGGAGAGAAGACCGTACGTACAAGGTCCACTGTTTGACGCGAGGGGCTCGGTTCGATTCGATATCCTAGGTGAAGCTCTGTTTGATAAAGAGTATAGAGGAGTTGCAGGTGCCCGTGAAACTATGACATGAAGAATGTACTATACTATACATCTCCTCCTGGTCCTGAAAAAAAACGTCGGAATTTGCCCCTCTAGAGAAGAGCTCTCGTGCGAAAACCGCTGTACAATAATGAGGCAAGAAAAATGTTTATGAACTACTGGACTGAAATGGGATTTATTTGATGCTGAATTAGCTAATGCGTTTAATATTCTTTGATAATTTGGGTGGAGTTTATAAATCGGGTTTTACCTAAGTGAAGAAAGGGTGTTAAGGTAGACAATCCAACCTCTCCCCCTCTAAATAATTCTAGAAACAACACCATCCTCCTCTTTTCCCCTTCCCTCTCCCCATCCCCATCTCCACTCAACACCCCTCTCCATCCTTCCCCCTCCCAAACCCCTCCTCCTCCTCCCCAAAATGAAGCCCCATCGCCATCCCCACATCCTGATGCCAAAGCACATGGCAGTGAAAAAACCACACTCCAGGGTTATCCACTCGCACCCGTAGCACGACGTACCCCATGCTCGGCACGAAGAGGGTATCTTTCCGTACCGGGTTTGCGGTGTTTAGTGACGGCGCGGGGGTGGGGAGCGCGCCGAAGGGGTTGTATGATTCGGCGTAGCCGCCGATTCCGAAGGCGTGGGTGGTGAGGTGGTGGAAGGGGGTGCCGTGCTGGAGGAGGTGTCAGTGAGTGTTGAAATAGGGGGGGGGGNAAATAGGGGGGGGGGTAGAGTGGGTATAGGACGAACGAGATGGAATGGGTGACCTCTGTCGTCGAAGTTGTTTAGTACTATGTCTACCCACCGCTCCCTCCCGCTTTTCACGAATGGGATGAATGCTTCCCCCCACTCACTCCTATTTACTGTGATTAAGGGACGGGAATGCGGTTGTGACCAGGTGGTTTGGTTTATGAAGCCTTTGGGGGCGTTGTTGTACTCGCCTAGGATCTCGATTTTGGTGTATAGAACTAGGTTTTCGTCGGCTGATTTGGGGAGGTTTAGGGGGGGTCCTGTTGCGTTGAGGAGGTCGAAGAGTGGTGTTGGTGTTGGTGTTTGGGTGGGTTTTGGTGCAGTTGGAGGTGAGAAGGTGGTGAGGTTGGTGGTTATTGGGAAGGATTGTGCTTCGGAGAGGGCGAAGTTGGGGAATTGGAGGTTTCTGAGAGACTGTTAGGTTGGTTGGAATAGGTAGTTGAGGAGAGGGACTTACTCTGGGTCGAATTCTATTCTTAGAGCTGCGGTTTGTGAATCGAATGTGGATGAAGGCTCAATGAGTATATCCATTCTCTCTCCAGGATAGAGGATCCCTATTGATAGTGCATTTGGTGCATCGGAGACTGGTGAGCCACCGTCGACTTGGATTACTTTCATGGTGTATCCTATCAACGATATCGTGTATCCAACCATTGCACTAGAAATTTGTCAGTCATTTCTCTTTTTTCTTTCATAGTTTGTTTCTGTTTCGAATTACCCAGTATTCACAATACGTAATCTAGTCTTCCCCTTCCCAAGGTTCAGCTGTGGGATGGCGACATGTTTACATCGCACTGGACGAGCAGGAACTGCCATGGAACAATTGAAATACCCCTTTCCGTTGATAACAAGCGAGTCAGGAGCCAGCTTTCCATAGTCAGCTATATTTCTTTCAAGTTTTCTGCTAGGATTTGATACCTCATTCCCAGCATTCGAGAAGTCCTTGTAATAATCCTGGACCTCGTGGCTTGGTCGATGATACCAGTCCCCAATAAGCAAGTTTATGTCGTCGTCATAGCCGTATTCCTTTTTCTCAGAAATGCCGGAGGTGGCTGGTTTGTGGATGACCAGACTACCGTACATACCGTCTGCACGTTGGAGTTCGGAATGGGCGTGGTACCTATACAATATCAATTCTGTTTTTGAAGAGGGGTTTGATGAGATGCTGAGTTACCAGAAAGTCCCAGCTTGATCATCATCGATCTTGAATTTATATGTGAAGCTTTTGGATGTTTTGATGGGACATTGAGTTAAGCCAACAACACCATCCATTTCGTTTGCACCTTTGAAAATCGTTAGGATTAAACTTGAAAGAAATGAAGAGAGAGAGAGAGACCTTTCATCCAAAGACCATGCCAATGCATCGCGACTCCCTCATCCCTCACCCCATTCCTAACCTCGATAATAAGCTCATCCCCAGACCTGGCTTCAATCAAAGGACCTGGAAATTGTCCTACTTTTATGTCACTATATCACTCTATTCACAAAAGAAAAGTTCGAGGAAACGAACCATTTATCAAATAAACAGACTTCTCTACTCCATCCGGACTCCGAAGTCCCTTCGTGATAGTCCAAACATGCTTGATAGTTTTTGGCTCCCGGTATATATGCTCATCCGGATGTAGTATAGCTCCAAGATTCTCAGGTTTGGGAGTGGAAGAGAAGGGGTTATGTGTGAGAATGTTGGAGGAAAGTGTGGTCAGGTCGAGGGTGTAGTAGAGGATGGCTGTCAGGACGAGGAATGTGGTGAGAAGGAGAAGACGAGATTTGGGAAGTAACATTTATGTGATGAAAGATATTATCATTTGCTCTCTTTCGTTACATATCTTGGATTCACATTTCTCTCTGTGCTCTTCTGTCGCTTGGTACCTGGGTATATCGGATGTCGGGGTTTTCTAACGGGATTGTGATGTTGTGGTACTGAAATTAAGGTTAAAACATTTCCAGGTACCCGACTGGTCCTCACTACTCCGTACTCCTACTGTTCAACCCGATCCAGAATAGCACTCGTGTTTTGCTGATGCGACCACTTCAAAAATATGGACTTTGTGAATGGATCAATCGGTTCATGTGAATGGATGTTATATTGCCAAGTTCTCACCACCTCCGCTTTCCGACAAACCCTTTCCGACAAACTCATCACCCCCCATTCCATGCCTCGCATCTCGGGCTCCAACCAACCGCTTTAAAAGCCGCGTGGCGGCAATCGTATTTGTGATTGGTGACGTATGTGGGGATGCATGGAACACAGCTCTGACATTGGTCAACGGAGCGTTTGGTCAGAGGATCATAGACCTTTACCCCCCTGCCCCCGCAGGACTGTTTGCGTTTGTCAGTCTGCACATGCGCGCTCGTAAATATGTATGTCAGTCCGCCGACTGTACAATTCCGCATCAAATCCTCCGGCAGTGAACGAAAGGTGAGATGACCTTCTCATGGTTCGAACTTAACCAATACATTATCGTTGCGGGTAGCCCCGGGTTCACATACCAGCACCTACTGCCACGGCCTTCTTGGTGGCCGTCGTGCATTCTTGGCCTTAATACTTCACACGGTCATCCTTTCTCAAACTTCCATATCGGATTTTCTCAACAACGGAAAGATGGTTTGGAGTACGCTTTACTCGCTGCTTCTGGCAGGATTTCTGGTGAGAGGATCGGAAGCGGGGAGTTTAAAGGATATCAAACATGTGGTTCTTTTTATGCAGGAGAATCGAAGTTTTAACCATGTAGGTGCTCACCCGGAATATTCGGGAACTATATTGGTGATGTTGGTTTTCTTTGGGAGTTTGGACTAATGGGGACTTTTGATAGTATTTTGGGACTATGGCTGGTGTGAGGGGATTTGCAGATCCGAATGTGCAGATTAATCCTGATGGGAGGAGTACACTTCAACAGTGAGTGCTGTCTGTTCCTATGCCAAGTTTGGTGCGGGCTTCGCTTGTTGGGTGAGAAAAATGAGTTTAAGAGTTTAAGAGTTTGATTGAGACCGAAGGAACCACTATGGAATTATTTCACTAACCTATTGATTCAAAGATTAGTAAAACACTCATTAAATCCAACACCTCCTAAACCATGGGCATCCCTTTCTTTCCTCGAGAGATTATGGCAGTTCTTTCTCTTCTTCTTCAAGTACGTCGCGGTTCACTTTCTTGTCGCCATCATACTAACAAGCCTAGATTATTCGTACCAGACAGAACCCCCCTAATGACGCAGGAAATTACTCAGTTAACTCCGTGGCATATCAACTATTTAGGTGGGGAATGGCGCCAAGCTACGAAGTGCTATGGTGGTGGTGATAATTCTTGGGAGGCGGGCCATATTTCTTACAATGGCGGCTTGTCTAATCAGTGGGTTTCGACAAATACTCCTTATAGTTGGGGCTACTTTAAGAGGGAAGATGTTCCCGTTCATTGGGACATTGCTGAGGGATGGACGGTATGTTTCCGTTTCTATGTTACTAAACTGAAGAAATTCAAGTGGTCCTTTCATGGTCGTCTATTTCTCCCATGAGACTCTACTTGGTTTAAATCCAAATAAAGGCTAATCTTTCAATCCCAGGTTGGTGACATGTACCAGGTACACAACACTCTTTTCAATCAAAAACAGACTTGAGACTAATATCAAAATCAAGGAAGGAATACTAGCCGCCACAAACCCAAACAGAGTCCTTTGGATGAGCGGAACGGTAAATAACCCCGGCTCGCCCAACAACCCCGACGGCACCGGAAACATGATTCTCGACAATCAAGCCTCACCAGGCTGCAAAAAGCCCAAAGTAAATTGCTTCCCCTTCACCTGGAAAACCATCCCAGAATACTGGCAAGACGCAAATGTAACCTGGCAACTGTACCAAGACCCAGATAATTTCGAGGACAACTCACTCGCGTACTTTACGCAGTACCAGAAGGCTTCAAAGGATAGTGACTTGTGGAAGAGAGGGAATTCGTATCTCGGTTTGAGGAGGTTCTACGATGATGCGGCGAATGGCGAGTTGCCTGAGATTAGTATTATTGTTGGACCGGCCGAGTTGGCAGAACATATGCCGTACTTACCTAGTGATGGAGCTTGGTTGCAGAAGCAGGTCGTAGATGCCGTGACGCATTCGCCGAGGTATAATGAGACGGCTCTGATAATCAGTTATGATGGTACATCCCCTTCCTCATTCCTCCCTCTCATCTCGCTAACAACCTTCAAAGAAGTAGGAGGATACGGCGACCACGTAGTCCCCTACATGTCCCCCAAAGGCACACCAGGAGAATGGATCGACGACCCCTACAACCTTGTGGGCCACACGGCCATCGGACCAGGCTACCGCCTCCCCTTCTACATCATCTCCCCGTGGACCCGCGGCTCGCACGTCTTCACGGAGCATGCAGATCACAACTCCCAGAACCTTTTTATCGAACACTGGCTTGAAGCTAAGGGTTACACCAACATCCGCAGCAAAGAGATGTCGTCCTGGAGACGCGCACACATGTCTAATCTCCTGAACGCATTTGATTTCGATCATCCTGATCTCTCACTCCCTGATATCACACCTGCGGAAACTCCACTCACGTGGTCAAGGCCCAAGGTGAGACCCGATGGCCCATTGGGCAGCATGAGTGATAATTATATTGGGGCGGCGATGTGTCAGGCTCGACATAAGACGGCGCATCCACCTGTTCCTTATGGGAAGGAGAATTCGAATGCGGATGTGGGGAAACTTGTAGAGGAGGGGTTCAAACAAGTCCGCGGTTCGTTGACTGAAGGGAGGTTTCTCGTTTTTGAGATGGGTGACCAGGCGCTCACGAATTCGGAGGGGAATCTGACGGTTTCGGGAAAGGTTCCTGATCACAGTCTGGTTCAGCAGAGATGGATTTTGAATTTGGTTGGCGAGACGGGAACGAGGCAGTTTTTTATTAGGAGTGTCGTTGATAGGTCTTATATCTCAACAAATCGAACGCTTACAGAGGATAAAGTCGACGCGGGGATCTTCACCATCGAGGATTTGGGGAATGGCAAGGGTTATCGTCTCTTGGGACTTGCTACCCCAGACCCTAATCCTGATCAGAAGACGGAATTGCGGAAAGGGTTTGAAGGGGGGAAGAGCTTGGTTGCTGGGGAGGGAGAGGTAGAGTTTGTGGATGAGGGAATGGGGGATGGCAAGGGGTGGAAGGTTTTCAGTGTGACTTATCATGATTCTACGTGATTCGAGAATCTGCTTGGGGATCTTTTGTTTGTTGTCGGCTCGTTGGTTTTCTGGGTATGTGTATGGCATTATGAGGTTAGAAGACTGGGATATGGGTGCCTAAGGCTGGGTATAAAGGATACGGGGTTTGGACTTGGGAGGTTTGCTTGGGTTGGGGTTAGGGTTATATACCACTTTCATTGCTGTGTTTGGGAGTTTGTATTTTTGGTGGAATTTAGAATCACAACTTTTTACTGTTTAGCTCAAGCCTTACTGTAAGATTAGCGAATAACACTCCTTGAAATACTTTTGCAGTTGTCCTCGGATGACAAAACACTCAGTACGGCTCTGCACCAAGACCTCAATTAACGACAAGTATCTCAAGACTGGAGATCAGAATCTTAGTGAAACATACGCTGCATATATGACATTTTTGTTCACAAGTTCTAATTTTCACTCTCCCATCTTGCATTGTAATGAATAACATAAGTACCTCTATAAATACACAGTATCAACCGACCTAACCTCTCTCAAACGTCTCAGTAATCACAGGTATAATTGTAAATGGACGCACAAACGATAATGAGATAGAGCATTCCGATTATTAACGAGAATACACACTCTGTATTGTCAGTTTTTGGGTACAGGCTAAAGGTGATTTGATAACGGATTGACCACAAATATGATGAAGATTAGAAAGAGGATGAAGACAGGAATTATGGGGGGGAAGGGGGAAGGGGGAAGGAATAGGTTGTGTAAGGAGGGATTGTTTATGTGGTGTAAGATTGCTTGTATACTGATTCTTCATGTGCAGCAGGATCTTCGGTTGTAACTCAACTCGTGCTCCTTCATTCATACATATCTCCATCGCGAAATATATGTTCAATAGCCATACGCTGCACTAGGTGAGTGCCATCAGACAATCTATAAAAAGCTATCGCTACGAATGAGGGTAGTCTAGGATATATAGAGGCTCCTCGATTGCTTTATTGGGACTTGGCTAATCTTCAATATCATGAGATCAGCTTGAGCTTGTCGAGCAGAGCTATATGGACTGAAACGACATAGTGACTGTTCAAGAATGGATTAGCTACGTGGGAATAGTAGGTATTGTCAGTAATACTTACATTATGGCATAGATAAATGTGTTGCTTCGCCTACGTACCTACCTATTGGTTTTTGCTAATGTGGAGTTTTGTTTAAAGAGTTTACTTCCTTTTACTGGAGGCGGATAAGTTTAATATGTTTGTGTATGGAGATGTTGGCTGGGGGGTTGAAGTTTGCAAGTAATGCGGATGGAAAGCACTAGGTGAGACGAACTTGGTTTGAAAGTAAGCTAGTTGGTAGATTTTGGTAGGGGGTATAATAAGGATCCTATTCTTGCTTTGACATTTGCTTTTCAAGACAAGAAACGGGGAGATCTTCTATCAGTATATCAGACTATCAGAACGAAGAGATGTTTTCGACAGTAGTGGGAAAATCGACGGCAAATCCTTCTTCTTTGAAAAGTCTTGAAAGATATGAGCGGGTGTAACGAAAGAGTTTTTTTTGAACACCTCCTGGGATTCTTGATAGAAGAGGAGAGGTAGGTAATGCCTGAAAGAATTAAGTGCATTATTCACTTGACAACCAATCAATAATGGCCATATGTGAGCACAGCTCAAGTCTCATTGATTTTCCTTCCATCTACGAGTAGCTGAAGACTAAATTAAAGAAAACCAACGTATCCTATGACGTAATTCCCTTTAAGGAGATTTGCTATCTGAGCAAGCCCCTAGCTTTTCATAGACTGTATGATTCCCTTAATGTCTTTAGAAGTCCTGAATGTACTTCTCGTGAAAAGATGAAATAGGATTTCACCCATAACCACGTTCTGAAACTCTCGGTGATTAGAGAGTCTTTTTTTACTTCAGTCGCTCTTTTATACCTATGTAGGAAATGTTTAGCTTCTGTTTAGATACTAGAAGTCAATAGATCTCACACATCGCAACAACAGCTCAGGGAGTCATTCAAGCTCATAGTTTCCTGTGCCAGGGAACGTCCTGTAGTCAGAACTCTTCCTAAGGTGCTCAAGTCCACGCCTGTGCTTCACCAAAATTCCCTACCATTTTTGACCATCCAATCAAGGTGCAAGTCCTCATGGCGGTGAAAATATAAGACGATGAAGGTGGTCTGCTCTATTGGAATCCTCAACAGAAAACAAGAGAAAACAAAGGACGCAAGGCTGAGGTGTCCCACAAGAATGACGAGGGAAGATGACGAGGGAAGATGACGAGAGACGAGAGACAAGACGATCTATAAGAGCTAATGGTCCACAACAGAAACGCAAACAACGCTATCAAAAAGGCGTAGGAACCCCTTGGAAACCACTATGGCCATCACATCGCCCGACCCGGTAGCGTAGACTAATTCGCCCCGCGCTTCAGTTATTTAAGCCCGCAAAGGATCGAACTGGTTAAACGACTTAACTTCTGTATTAAGATGGAATTTGGGGCTGGGAATAACATTATACAAAGTTTTGTAGATCAATTAGAGGCGGAGTTCATGGCAAATATCAATGAGGAATTATGCGATCCGAAGTAGCAACTTCCTAGGAACACTAACTTTACCTGGGCTTACGCCCGCTTTGTACTGTAAGAGTCTTTGTAAGACATCGGCTAACACTTTAAGCTAACCCACAGGAATCACAAAACTTACAAAAATCTATGGACGATCATACCCTCTTGTACCTAGTTAAGACGTTGAACAAGCCTAAAACTAGACAACTACTCATAGATCTTACAGCTGTTCTCGAATACAACGTTAACCCTATAACCAGCTCCTATATCTATACCTAATAGAACATACCCTGTTCTGATGCCAAGATTCTAGACCAAAATGTCATTCTTACATATTCGTGTTATGGTGGTGGATGCCGAACACCCAAAAAAATCCATACCTGGAGTTCTAATGAGCTTCGAGATCCAGTAGGCTCGACCGGGAGTATGCCCAACAAATGGCGGTTCACGTTCATCCTTCTCCTAAAAGCTTGACTGAATCCTTGATTCGACAATAGTAAAAGATTCGACAGCAATTTCGACATTCGTCATCTAAATCTATCTATCTAAGCATCCTTAGTCTTGGACTTTACAACGTATGAATTCTACCAGGGTAGTTCTTTTGCTTTGGGGAGTTGCTTAGAAGGGGATGCAGCTGGATCGTCCCGATCATGGCCATTCTCAAACTTTTGCATGGCGACGAGGTGTGGTGTCTTTCGAATCGGTCAACCGTCTTGGGTGGCGGTTATATATATGATTTGAGCAGGGAGTTTTACCTCTTGCTCCTGCCACGTGCCATTTGATTAGATTTCATTCTTGTCTCTAAAATACAACAATATATGACCCCAGGTTACCATATTCTGTTTCTTCCTGATAGAAAGAATTTAGAATAGCTGCTTTAGGGTTATCTCCCCTATCGATCTCTGGTACAATGACAAAGTATCTCGAGAAATCTGTATCTTGTAACACTTCGGTAGTCTTACCTCCAAGAGAAGTGAAGAAGTGAAGAAGTGAAGAAGTGTCGATAAAGTCCGTAAACCATTGAGTTTGATCTTTTTTTGGAACCACAAATACACACGTCATTCCAATGCTACATTGTACTCTCCTGATGGGGTTGTATAATAAATAACACTTCTCCCTACGGCAAATTCGAGTTTTATAGCTTGACACTCTTCTAACCCTACCCGAAGATCCAAGCGATCTAAGAAGAGTAAGAAGTACTGGTGTTTACCGTAACGAAGACTTGCCAGGATTTTCTCATGTTCATAATCGTCATTGAGAAAAGCGATATGGGTAACTGAAGTCTGCAACGGGAAGTGTGAGGAGGTTTTCTGAGTATAAAGAAGATAGATCTAGATGTTCTTTGAAAAATTGGATGGCGCATGAATATCGATGACACTCAATTCTCATATATTGTTTTGTACCAAGTACAGTATAATAGTGAAACAAGAGTCTGTGCTCTTTGCTAATGCTTCCGGAGAATTAATAATCTTTCATTTGTATTTCTTCCAAAAAATATATGATGACCATGACGACTTTGGCACTTTGCCATGAAGCAGGTATGGATAGTTTCCTAGCGTCAGAATCCCATTGATACTTCTAGTAGAGAGTCATACCTCGAGCTGCAATAAGTGTAATACTATTACTTTACTCAATCAAGTTGAATTTGCTGTTATTATACCCTGTGAAGTAGAGACTCATCCAATGAAGCTAGCAAAGAGAAGGTTCTGATCCTCAACACTCACACCTCAACACCCATCATCCATATCCTACTGTATATCTCACCACCCTTCTAATCCACTCAAACGCCCGCCTAAAGTCCATAAAATCTACCCAATATCCATGAAAAAAGACCCACCGAAACCCGAAAGTCTTATCTCAAATGCTTCATATATATTATCTACCATCAAGCCCTTTCTCTCTACGCTATAACACTCTCAATGCCAGCTCTATAAATACGCCTGAGCGTAGGGAAGCTCTCGAAAAGTCCATGCTACAGTAACACAAGCCTCCATCCCACCTCCGGGACTACTAATGAAGAATGGCTCACGATCTTGAGAGAGAAAGATATAGCCCTTACCAAGTTACAATTTGAGAAAACCAATCTGGAGATTGAAGTAGAACGGAAACAACGCGACCTCGATCGAACCATGAAGTATGCAATTGGAGTAGGGGAGGAGTTGCAGACCAGCAAAATGGAAATGCCCTCCCCGCTCACACTTCCATGTTCCCACCAACCCATCCGTCAATCATCCTTTACATGCAAACTGTAAGTTTAATCCGACAGCAGCAAACAAATCGACAGCAAACTTCCGCCCTCCCATTTACTCTCTCAACAACAACAATAAACTGCCATAAAAACCAACACTTCAACCCCAGTCTCCAGATTTCCCGAGAGAGGCTTTACAAATAAGGCTGTATTTTGTGTTGATACCCAGATGATACCAAGACAGCCACAGTGAGCAATTTCGTCTCTTTCTCTTATTTGATACAGTACAAGACATGAGACGACTTGGGTGTTTTATAGGACGTCAGAGCAGGGGAAGTCATCATGTTTACGTGAGGCAATGGCAGAGCTAGACAATGTAAAATGTTTATGGCAAGGAGAGTGATGGATGTGAGTATTTGTGGTGAATTTTTTGGGTTATACCACTAGAGACTTTAAGCCAACGACGAACCATGAGGAGAATTATTTTTAAAACAGAATAATTTTCGCAGTCTCGTAGAATATAGCTTCAAACCTTGAAGGCTCTCAGGAGCTACCCCTGGGAAGAGATTCAATATCTTTCCACACCTTGCAGAAAACATGTCAAGCTCTTTGCTAGCATTTGATTGAAAACTTATCAAATTGGTTCTCGCCCCTACCATACAAACAAAGTAACGCCACGCTCCATAATGCATTTCTCACCAACAACCCCCTACCATAAATTTCCGCCCCATACTGCCAGCAAAAAGAAAATAGTCTATTTTACAGTTACACACCTGGGATTCTTCACTTCTTGCGTACTTGCTTAGCAGTCATCTTCCTAAACGCTTCCGCACCACCAGCACCAATAGGTCTCGACATCGGATCAATACCCTTGCTAGGATCAAAGGTACTCTTTGGAGCAATGGTATAACTAGTATTCGAAGTTTCCAATCTGGCACGATTACTTCTGTTTGGTTGAGCAAGGACTCGTTCTCGTTCGATTTCACGTTGTGACATGCCTGCCCGCTGGGACGCTGGCATTTGAGAGGACTGAGTTCCAGATGGTCGAAGAGCAAGTTGAGCAGCCCTGTAACGTGATTAGTTAAGTGAGCAATGAAATTAGTAAAAGGGTCAACATACTGATGATCGAATTCTCTGGTGGCCACCTTCCGTTGTTTAAAATCATCAGTTCGCTTCAAAATAGGTCTTGACCAGTCTCCCAATAACCGTTCAGCAGCTCTTTTGACTCCAATCTCGGGCTTCTTGCTTTTGGTATAGAAAAGAACAACCTTGCCAATGCCACTACTCAGCAACGACTCTTTTTCAATTGGTAGACGGGCGAGTGCTGCAAAAAGATCTCGTTGAATTGTATATGCCGGGAGACTTCCATCGGGAAGTGGCTCTAGGAAGTATTTCACGGATTGCAGGAAGTTGGTATCGGGATCAACAATCGAATGTTGGACGGTGTTGCGGTTGAGAAGAGATACCACTTTTGGAAGCATCTTGAGTTTATGGACTGCAGGTTGGCCTTGATCGCGGGCCTCATTGTCGGCAGTACAAGCGCGTTCCATTTCAACCTTGAGTTGAGCGATTTCTTCATCGAATGCCTCTTCAAGATCCTGTAATACTGTAAGCACATGCAGCGAAGACAAGCATATTTGTACATACCACTTCATCCTTCTTGCGTCGCCTCTTGTTTGGATTCTTCAAGGCCATATCCATCTGCTTGTCCAAAGCTCTCCGTCGTCTCTCCTCGGGCGTCAAACTTGCCTCATTCTCTGGTGATGGTTGTCTTCTTTCCCTCGTTGCCCCATCTCCCTTCTTTCTCTCCTCATCAGATCTCGGTTTGCGGATTCTCTTGCCTTCCATGCGCTCTCCATCTGGATCCTCATCCTCATCACGACGTCTCTTCTTTTTGTCGCGTTTGCCCTCTTTCGATTTCTTGCCATCCTTATCGGATCTCTGTCGCTTGGCTGCCTTCAATGTGCCCACCGCATACTCATCTAGTTCAACTGGTTTGTCTTCGATGGCGACAGTCTTGGGATCGAAATCTGCGAATTCAGCCTCGTCGACCTCGGAAAGATCAGATGCCAGGGAATCGTCGTCATCGTCGTCGTCCATATCCACATCAGCATCCGCTGCTGGTGGCGCATCTGGTTTTTCTGAAGCTCGTCGGCTTGGTTCTGCGGAGCCATTTCCAGCTTCTGGGCCTGGCGAGGCGGCCCTTGAATTGGCATCTAAGTCCGACATTTTTGTGGTTGGAGATACCTAGAATGGTAAAGTTGGGATGCTGAACTAAAGTAGCTTTTGCAGTGTTGAGTAGTGCCGGCGGGACGGAACAAACCAGAGGTGAAAGTTTATTAAGGAATTAGAACCATCTGGAGACTTTTGAAAGGTGAATGTTAGTATTAAATATTGTCAAAGGAAGAGTGAAGTCGTGCTTGCGCTCATCATAAATTCCAGGACACTCGCGAAAAGGGCCTAGCGCTTGCGCCTGCCTTAATATCAAGGCAACCACGGCGATTATTCCGTGTGGCTGCAACCTTGTTTATTTACTTTCTAACTTGCGCCTGCATCAACTTCAACCCTCCACCTGAACCTTTGGATCAACCACACTCCCCAACACTCATCACACCCACTACTCCAGCCATGTTCAGTAATCTCAACTCCCAAAGACGAACGCATGAAAGTCCTATGGATTGGGAATGGCAAAATCAAGCCCCAGTTGATCCAAATACTCCATTTCCTCAATACAAACCTCAACAAGGCCAACCAAAACGTAAATTCACCCAACCATAATCCCCATGAAGATATTCCGCTGACATGAAAATAGCAAATTTCCAATCGCCGGTGAGATCAGCAAAGCCCTTTGCGAATACACCTGTAAAAACAGCACCGCCATTTCGAAACCCCTCCTTTACCACACCAAGAAGAGCATTCGATCCAGACCTCTTTTCCGAGGCATCGGGAGCCGAATCATCCCCAGCAGATACCATCGGCGGGGACGATACACCTGAACCAGATATTCAAAAGATTAGCGCGGGGATGGCGGTCTTGCAGAGTCCGACACACAAGACGCCCTTGTTTGGAAAGTACGGAGCTGGATTTCTGGGTAGCAGTCCGGGGCGAGGGGAGCGAAGAGGAGCGAAGATCAGTACCGCCTTGACACACAAATTGAGGAAGCGCAAGAGGGTTAAGCAAGATGTCAAGATGTTTGGAGGAGGAATATCGGATTCCGAGTCGGACGAGGGCGATTCTCGACCTAGTAGCAAGAAAGGTGGCAAGGCAGAGCAGGAGAAGAAGGAGCATTGGTTTGGATCGTTTATGTCGGGAATTGAATCGAGACCAGGACTGCCATATACGCTTTCGGAGTACATTCAAGTTGGATTCAACTTGCTTTTCTTATTCCTGACAGTTTTCGGAATATACACCTTCTGGTCGGCTGTCAAGGAAGATATCACAAACGCCTCGAATATCGAAATCTCAATTGCGCAAGAGTCAATAGCTCAATGCGCTCGCGACTACGTCAACAATAGATGTGGACCTGATCAACGAGTGGAAGCCCTCAGAAAAGTGTGCGCGGATTGGGATGTGTGTATGCGACGGGACGCCCAAGCAGTAGGAAGAGCAAGAGTCAGTGCCCACACATTCGCCGAAATTGTGAACAGTTTCGTGGAGCCCATCAGCTACAAAACCATGGTAAGTCCAATATTCCCTTCCAGATCCATAGACATCAAGTTAACAGTACAGATTTTCGTAATTCTCACAATCACGGGGGTCCTCGCAGCCAACAACATCGCCTTTGGCGCCTTCAGATCCAAACTTTCTGCTCCACATATCCCCCAACAGCACGCACCTCCACCTACTTACTTCCCGCCCCCAACACCACAACATACATACCAATGGGGCGCACCACCTCAAACGCCACAACACAATAACCATTTTATCAATTATGAACATGAGCAAGGTGTTAAGCAGATTATGCCAAGTTTCACACCTGGCCAGAGGAGTCCTAGTAAAGGCCAACGAAGTCCCAGTCGAGGGAGGATTGGAAGAAGTCCTAGTAAGCAGTATTGAGAGCTTGGAGTTTGTGTTTTCTTTTGTTTTCCTTTTCTTTTGTTTTTTTTAGCAGGCAGGTTGGGAGCGTGGATCTGGGGCGTTGAATGTTGGGTAGGGTAAGGGGAAGCGCGGCGCGAATGGTGTACAGTACATGGGGATATATTGTTTGGGTATGGAATGGATGGGAATGGTATATCTGGTTTAGTCGTGAGTTTTTTTTTTGAAATGCCATATTCATCGATTCGCCCTTTTTCGCACTCTCTTCTTGTGTGTGGTACTGGGATTTCAGGGCGGAAAATTATTTGTTACGTACGACACATGACTTGTCAAGTACACGGGTGGGAATCTGGGAATATCAAGAAAGAAAAAACTAAAAAATAATGGTAGTAGTAATAATAGTCTATTCATTCATATACTCATTAATTTGATCCCCCCTTTCTCCCACCCCCTAAACTTACGCCAATAACAAAGTCAAGTAAGTATATATAAGTTAACCTTGAAACTTTTAAAAAAAGGAAGCCCTACCCCCCATTCATCCGAATCCGAGCCTCATCATTGAATCATCATCTCAAATTCAAAAATCTCAAATCTCAAATCTCAAATCAACAAGATCAAAGAAAAAAAGAACAAATCATCTTTTACTTTATGACTTTCGCTTGAACCTCGTAATTTCCATTGGTTTGTCCCGCTTGCGGTAAATAGAAGGGAAACGAGAGGGTGGTAGGTGTAGGGTAGTGGTAATTCCGCTTTCTCTGCCTGTGTGTCTGTCATTTCCATCCCCCATCCATCATACCCCCTTGGTTCCTATACCCATATTTCGTAGTACCCCACGTAAAACGTAGTGAAACATCACTCCCACACTATTTCATGAAGAACACTTCCATGATTTCTCCCCTCCCCCCCCCAACCATCATCTATCCCAACGCACCATATCTAACCTCTCCTCTTCACCTCCGTAGCCCACCCCTCAATTCCTTCCCCTCGACTCCCAACTTCCAATCCAGGAATCTTAACCCCCTCCATCCCTGGCGTATCCTCAAGCCACTTACTACCCGCCATCCCACCAGCATTTGCTCTCTTCTCGGGCGTCAACTCTAGGAGCGGAATCAAGAACTCGGCAATCTTCTTCGCCTCATCCTCCTTAAAATGATATTTCTCCTTGAGGACATCCGGAAGAGCCCAGTGTCTCAGACGGTGAATGTTGCGCAGTTCGCCTTTACGATTAAAGATTTCCTGACTCCATTTACCCGAGAGACATAATGATTTCGGGAAGGGGCCCAGGAGCTCAATGATTTGCGCGATGTGGTCGTCGTCTTTGCCGTACTTGGTGCCGGATTGGGGGTCGAAGAGGTAATCGCCGGTTATGAGTTCGAAGACCTAGAATTACGTAAATAACAGAAATGATTCAAGACGAGGGAAAAAGAGCTCACCATTGCAGCCATACTCCAAACATCGGTACTTGCTCCCCATTTGGAACCCAAAATTACCTCGGGTGATCTGTATTGTCTAGTTTGAATATCATTTGTGAAGTGGTGGTTTGTCCAACATGCGTTACCCAAATCCGCAATCTTCACCGATATTATATCTCCCGCAAGGGCTTCTTCGGCTTTCTTCTCGCTGGACTTGTCGAGGGAAATGTCGCCGACTTCTCGAGTAAGGATATCTCTATATGACAAATGAGTTTTCATTTGACAAGGAAAGATGATGAGCCGACTTACGCTGTTCTTTCTCGTTGCTTATGCTTATCTTCATCTTCCTTATCATTCTTAGGTAATGCATCTTTCGAGCCACCTATTGCACCACTCATTACGACGGGATCCAAAGAGGGAGGAGTAGCAAACGGATCTTCAATAGGGGAGTCATTACCTTCTTGCATTATCTGATTCAGACTTGTATGAGAACTTGGTGTACTACCAGGAATTCTCATCAAGTCGGCCTGGTTGAAGCTGGCATTCAGAGGACTTGGTAAAGGTTGACTACCAGTAATCAAGGTCCGCCTTCTTCTCCGTCCATTCCGGTGGTCTTCCTTGTCATCTTTCTTTTCCTCCTTGACAAACGTCTTGACGATTTGCTCCACATCCCCAATTTCTATCAGGACGTTTTCGGGCTTCAGATCGGTATGTATGATGCCGCATTCTCGGTGTAAATAGTCCAAGCCCATCAGGACTTGCTTGGCGATCTGCTTGACAAGCGGCATAGGAATACCCCGGTGATGCCATCGCTTGATCAGACCCAACAAATTCTCACCCAACACCTCAAATACCATGCAAACGTGGGTTCCGTTGGGACCCTTGTGATCGAAGGAATCAAGCAGACTGACGACATGTTTTCGTCCTGGATGATCGGGCTTAGCTGCCACGATCTTGTTGAGCAGCTTGATTTCGTCCACGGCGGTTTCTGTGTAATGCGCTGCGGACCGTACGACCTTCAATGCAACGTGCTTCTGGGTGACGTTATCTTTGGAGAGCCACACGGTGGAAAAATGCCCCCATCCCAACTTGCGCACCACTGTGTATTTTCCATCCTTAAACTGCTCACCGACGGTTACGGGATGATAGCCACCTTTGCAGTAATCCTCGGAGTCTTCTTCATCGGCAGTCGTCTCGGCGGCGTCTTCCCGTACGGAGGAAGAGGAGGAAGGGGTGCGGTTCATGTTGGACTTGGAATTTGACGATCTGTGTGGTTGGTTATTGGTGGTCAGCAAGTTTTTAAGTAACGAGGTCATGTTGTAGATTAAATAGTCGGTCGGGAGTGACCATTTTTTGGACCAGCCAGCAAACTGGGAATCAATTGTTTTGCGGGGCGCCGACCGCGCAGGACGCCCGTGAATCTAGGAAAGTACCGTAGCCCAGTCCCCGTGGGATGATGTCGTCGAGGTCGAGGTCGAGGTCGACGGTCGACTGTCCTGGACGCTGGCGACGGGAGAGGCCTGGGAAGGCGATGGCGACGTTTGACTGTGGTGGTGCCGGCGAGCGCTGGATGATTCTGATGCTGCTGGCTGGTCGATGGGATGGTGGGATGGGATGAGACGAGGGGGAATGGAGGGGAAATGACGGCGACCGTCGAGTAACGAATAACGACACTAGGAAATGAGGCGTCTTTTGGGAGACGGAGAGGAGAGGCGACGGAGACGGAGACTGAGACTACAACTTACCCTTGGTTCGACGATGCTAACATGTCCGCATCCTGCTGCCCCTCGGTGGTGATTATGGGCTTTAGTTCCTTCTTCCGCTTCTTGGTGGCGGCAGCGCCATTGGAAACGTTTGCAACTCCCTGTTTTGCCTTCTGGATGGCCGCCTGCGCCAGCGCGCTGCTGCCGTTCATTGTGTGTGTGTAGAGTATGGTGTTTTGCGATACTTTTCCGAGTGCGAATGGTCTGTGATGACGCGCCCTGACCTGACCTGCGCTGCGCTTTCTGTTTCGTATCGCCTGTCCTGGAGGCGGTGGTGGTGCTGTCTGGCGATGGTTGGTCGGTGTCGGTGTCAATGTCAATGTCAGTATGGCTCAGGCTCCAGTAATTGTCTAGGCTCAGCGATGGGACGAGGGAGAGGATGGTGATGGATATGCAACTATTCACAGAAGTGCGATGGCTACGACAATAATGTTTGGAGGAAGAAGCTGGCCGTGGGCACTGGCAGAGGTAGGTAGAGGTAGAGGCAGATTTTGGTGGGGGTTAGATCTAACAGTGGGTACGAGCATGTTCAGGTTGATGGGGATGGGATGGGATGAGAAGGGAATGGGAATGGGCGGCAATGGAGGTGAACATCGGCTGCGCTGCCGTTGCTGCGAGCGATTCAAGGACCAACGCAAGGCAATGTTACTGGTCACTGTTTACTCGCTCCTTCGTCACTCTACCTACCTACCTTGCTTGCACTTGCGCCTGTTGCTGTTGCAGAACCTGCTGGCTGAGCTACAAATGGAAAGGGAAGGGGTGGGGGAGCCGCTTGATTCCGCAGTGAGCCTGAGCCTGATATCCGTACGAGTAGAGTACAAGCACTCAAACTGGGCTGAGTAGCCAGAGCGACAAGGAACATGCAGTGCAGTGTATACACCATACTCGGTAGGTGTAGGGTAGGTAGCTCGGTACGAGTAGGTATACTGGGTGAGGGGTTATCTTGGGCGTGTCTTTTAGGAACGTGTGTCTCTAGCCGCCCGCGGGGTGATGAAGATATGAAATGCTGTCTCGGTGTTATTCCCTTCATCCAGCCGCCTGGCTATTCTTACCACAAACGGCATATAATACATACACATTCAAAGATATCAAAACATGAAAATATTCCGCCTGTTTACAGCTATGGAAAACCAACAATTCTGCAGCACCAATTCCATTTCCTACCCGAGGATTCCAGCCTCTTTTCACCCCACGGAAGAAACGCCTACACTTACACCTACAGGGATCCACAGGTCTAGAAGCCCACAAAAGTTCGCTTCCTATACACACGCCACCTACGGGACGGGAGGGAACTTTGGCAAGACCAGCTCCAGGCGTGTGCAGCTTACAAGCATTATTGTACAGTATACTTCAACGAGCCTATATCGTATGCATTTCCATCTCCAGTTCATCCCACAACACACAAAGCACTCACTCCAACAACCAAATCTCGGGATTCTTCCATGCCTCTCGCCTCGTTAGACAACGACCCCTCATTTGTGGACCTCCCCCCAAAACTCCGTCATGTCCCAGAAAAAACCAAGATCCAAGAAGATCTTGGACGAAGACGCCCAGCCACTATGCGAATCATTTTCACCAAAAAACCCCTCGTCCTTTGGCAAAATAGCTCTGATGTGATATCCCAGAAAAGTAAACACACAGCTCATATCTCCCCCCTCCCCCCTCTTGTACACGACTTGTTATAGGAAGGGTTTAATCTCACAACATTCAAGTACTCGAGCGAAGCTTTGCTTCATAAGCTACTTAGACCGTCCGGTTCATGCAGGATACTTGTAAAGGGGGTAGACAGCTCGTCGTCGCACCCTACCCTACCTACCTAATAAGTATACTACTCGAGTAGTACTTATATCATATATCTCTGCCCCAACTTTCAGCGAAAGAGACTCGCCGTCCGTAAATATACACTTTCACAAACCTATGATCTGCGTTATATAGAGCGAGCACTCTTAGCTATCTACCTTCTTCATATCGGAATCTAATAAGGGGAGTCTAGAGCTATCTCAATCTAGACCCTTTAACCTAGGTAGTTACTTACTTACAGTACATCTCCACAGGTACTATACTCGAGTACTCCATCAAAAAGCCCCCCAAAACGCCCAACAAGCTACATCCCATCCACTCGCTTACATGTACTTAGGCGGGATAACAACGTTTATATCGGTAGGGTCCTCGATAAATTAATAATTGTTATATTAGAAATATATTATATAATAATATAATATCATATCCTTAACAATAATCGACATGATATCGAAAATCGGGTTACGGACGTAGAAAATCGTAAGTCTAGGTCTGGACTAATCGATATCGCGATATTTACGATAAGTATCGTCTCCGCGACCAAGTCTGCTCACACAAATATACAAACCCCAACAAACGCCCAGAAAATAGCATATGCAGATGATAATAATATAGATATGCTTTTACAACCACCAAAGGCGCAGTGCATTCTAGAATCTCTCATATCTCATCTACCTGCTATCCTAGGAACAAGGATTCAATCAAAGCAACCAGGGGGGTGACTGGGCCACAGAGGCAGAAAAATCTCAATGAAAGAATATAGATACTGTAGATAACTTTTCAAACTCCAAAGAAGTCAGTCAATTCTTCCAACAACCCCCTCTCGCCCCCCAAAAATGAAAGCATCCATAGTATACAAAAATAGACCCCCAAGAAAGGACTTCATCACGCTCATCATGAACTGTTATACTCCCAACTCTGTTCTGTCTCCCATGCCATAAAAGAAGAAAAAAGTCAACAAAAAAAGTAGAAAAGTCAAAGTGCATAGTAAAAAAAGTCCAACAAAAACAAGCAGGGAACATCTTATGAATAATCGTACAGTACAAGCTACAATCCGCTAAAAACGAACCATCCATCCATCATTCATTTAGCAATAGCAGCCAACCATCTATCCTGATCCTTCCTATGATCCACATTAGCATCACTCTCACCACCCAGACCATTCTCACAGAAAATCGTTGAGAAAAAGGGGACATACCGATCAAAACGCAACAACTGCCCAAGAACAGTCTTCACCAAATCCCCCTGCCGCTTCTTATCCTTCTGCTCCAAGAACTGCAGCAAAATAGTCTTCAAATAAACATAATCCATCTGTCCCCCACCCGCACCCGCCGTCCCATTCGCCGTCCCAGGTCTCCCACTATCGGTCGAGGAGCGCGAAGAGACATCATTCATCTTCATCTGCTTAGCTTGCAGCGCCTTATGCTCCTTCTGCAACTTTTCAAACTTCTGCGTCGCCTCGTCCAGAAGACGTCGCAGATCAGCACGTTGCTTCTCAGCATCACGCACTTGTTTCTCGCTGCCGTCAAGAGCATTGCGAAGTTCGGCCATGGCGGATCGCGTTTCGTTTGCTTCCTGTGTGGCTCGTTCGGAGGTACTGGAGAGTTCATCGCGTTTTCGTTTCCATTCCTTTTGAGCTTCTTGTAATTCATCGCGGTCATCAATCGCACGCTTGATATCCCGCTCAAAGTCCCGGATCTTGGTTTTGAGTTCTTCCACTTCACGAGCTTTCCGACGACCATTGGTGCTGGCCTCGTCTTCGGCTCGATCACGTTCCTCGATTGCCGCCTCCATTCTTTCCCTCATTTCCCGTACTTTGGCGTCCGCACGATCATCAACATCCGCCAGTAATCTACGCATAGTCTCGCCCTCTCGAGTTCGCTCACTGAGTAATCGTTGTACCTCAGCCAACTCTTCCTCCAAACTTTCCGATTGATCCTTAGCTTCTTTCAATTGCATGGCCATCTCAGCAGACTGGTCTCGCATGCTACCCAGTAAACCTTGGGCGTTATTGTATTGCGAACCTCGGAGTTCGACCTCCTCTCGGAGACCTTTGGATTCAGTTGAAAGTTTGGAAACTTCCTCTTCCAGGTCTCGGACCTTGATTCGTAATTTCCCAGCTTCTTCCTGAACCTTAGCGAGCTCGGCTGAAGCCTTCTCCCCTGTTGCTGCCAGTTGAATCTTCTCTGCTTCAGATCTTCTCATATCACGCTGAGCAACACGAGCTTGATCCTCGGCTCGAAGTCTACCATTTGTCTCCTGGGTGACTTTCTCATTCAACGTCCGAATTTCGCCATCACGATCCGCTGCCTGTTTTTTGAAACTCGCGACATCAGATCTGAGGTCCTTTTCACGAGCTTCTAATCTTCTCAACTCAGATGTTCGTGTGGCAAGTTCCTCCTTGGCCGTTTTCAAGGTGGCGTTCTCTGCGCGAAGTGTCTTGAGTTCTGGTTGAGCTTTCTGTAGTACATCCTTCAAGTCGGTTAAATCCCTGTATCGTGATGCTGCCAATTGGTGCGCTGCTCCAAGGTCCGTCTGTAGAGCAGCTGATTTGGTCTTGAGGTCTTCATACTCCGCTGTCAAAGACTTGAAATCAACTTCTATCTTTTCAGTATCCTTAGACTTTGACTTGTGGCCATCAATTTCCTTCTCCAAAGTGGGGATTTTATCCTGAAGCTCCCGTTTTTCTCGCTCGAGCTGCTTAATCTTTTCCATGGCCTCCACATGTTCCTGGCCATAATCCGTGAGTTCTTCCCTAACATGGTCAAGTTCCTCACGTAGATCAGCTTCTGTCTTTCGCTGGATTTGAAGCTTCGATATCTGAGCATCTCGGTCAGCTATGTCCTCCTTGAGCCTTGAAATCTCAGCCTGCATATCCGTGGCCATTGGTGAAGCTGGTGCAGATGTTAGCTCCGTTGCCTTCTCGGCAGTCACCTCTTTCACAACAGCTGCTGCTGCCCCTCCCTTCTTCTTCTTTTTATTGTTCTTCTTCTTACCAGCTCCAGTCGCTGGTGGTACGGCTAGCGTACTTGCTGCTGGGGCCTTGACTTCGGTTTCGTCATTATGACTTCCCGTTTCCTCCTTGAGTTGTTCCGTCAAAGTTTTATTAGATTCGGACAGTTCTTCGATTCGCTTCAGGTCGCTTGCACGAGATACTTCCAACTCCTTAATCTGGGCATCCAACCTTTGACGGCTAGCTTCGTGCTCTTTACGGGAACTCTTTTCTGATTCCAAAACACGCTTGAAAATCTCCTTTTCTTTCGCGATGTTGCCTTCCAACGTCGTGATTCTCGCAGTTGACTCGTTTTTGGTGCTCTCAAGTGTGGCTTCGAGATCTTTCAGTTGCTTTTCGGAGCTTTCAAGTTTCTCCTTCAGAGTAGCAATCTCTTCTGTCTGCTTTTTAATCTGTTCTAGTTGGTCCCGATCAGCTGTGGCAGCGTCTTTCGATTCTTTGAGCTCTCGGGTCGCCTTTTCGAGGTTTTCAACCAAGCCCGAACTTGATTCTTTGGCAATTACAAGATCTTTCTCCAAAGTGGTAACCTTTGTCTTCAGGGTTTCAACTTCGGCAGTCTTCTCCCTTACTTCTGCTTGAAGTTTTGGTAATTCGTCGTCATATGAAAAGAATTCCTCGCTAACGTCTTTATTGTCTGTTGGTTGTGGCTTCTGCTTGGGGGAGAACATATTCATAACAGAGGAAATAGGAGACTTTACGGATGCTGTAGGTGTATCGATACTCCCAGCATCTGTTTGTGCGGTCGAGGCAGTGGCGCTTTCGTCACTCGGTGAAGACTTCAGAATTTCCAGTTGCGCCTTTGCAGCAGCGACTTCTTTCTCAGACTCCTCAAACTTCTTCTTGTAGTTGTCGCGATCGGCAGATACACGCTTGAATTCATCCATGACCATGTCTCCCTTCAGATTCACCTGACCAAGATATTCAACAAGGGCAGCAGGATTGCTAATGGATTCTAAAGGCGTGTGCTCTTTCAAAGCTCGCTCGAATGGTTCAACTGAGATGGCTTTCGCATGTGCAACTCGGTATGACCGCAAAAGGTCTGGCATTTGTCAATTCATGTCATACAACTAACCTTACAGCATCGTCCTACCTTTATATTTTGCTTGCAGATTGTCGAATCTTTGCAACTTTGCACGCACATCCGCAGGTAAATCAGATATTTTGGTAGGTGTTTCCGCTGCCTTCTCTCCCTTGATTGCGCCATCTGCAGGGCTTTTTGCCTCTGCGGCCTTCTCCTTCTCTGGCATGGTATCGTTCTTTTCGGAGGCTGGTTGCCCTGCACCCGATGCTTCCTCCATCTCGTCGTCTATCACAAAAGCATTCTCAAATTCAGCAGGGTCTGGACCTCGAGCCGGAGAACCATCGCCTTCCTTTGCCTTTGACCTCCGTGGCTTTGTAGATGGGGAACCCGTTCGGGGAGAGGCACGTCGGGCTGGGGAATTTGTGGAATTGGATCGCGACAACGCTGGATCCGTGGCCGTAGCCGATTTCTGTCGCGCTTGCTCCTCCGCAATCCGGGAGTCTATGGCGCCCTTGAGTCGCTGTGGACAAGTTAGTTCTATATGAGGACCAGGCTGCGGTTTGTGGGATTCTTTGGAAGTTCCGTACCTGGAACATCGTGGCCACGTCTCAGGGGGAGAGTCGTTGCAAGATTAGTAGATTACTAGGGCAAAGTCAATTAATAAGAAAATATCATCTTTGCGACAGCTGAGGCTTCCATGAATCACGGCCAAAGCAAATACCTGTCACGATTCAAAGCGCTGTGCCCCCAGTGAGACTGAGACTGCAGGTGTTCTTTTTTAAGTGGCGTTGTCCGTGCCACAACCCATAGTGGATTTGATTCACTGGGCAGGGGCTGCCTCGCTGCTTATGGGGGTTCTGCTTGGTCCCTCAAGGAGCTGTAGCTGTGAACACAAAATGCCACGCGACTCGCCTTCTGAGCCAGACAGACTCACTACACCCTCGACTACCGACTGCGACAACATGGAATAGGGGGACTCGAGCTCTGAGATAGCTGCATTTACGATGGTCTCGTTGTGGCCCTGGAAGGTAAGTCCGCTCAGCCACTGTTCATAGCTGGTGGTAGCTAGGACTCTAGCACTCTAGGACTCTAGCACTTCAGCACTCCACTCTAGGGCTCTACTGACCAGACTCTCTAGGGCGATGCGAATTCGCCAGCCGAGTTTGAAAAGGCTCTGGCGTCACTGGCCGAAAAGATCGCCAATTCTCAGGCGCAGCTAGATTTCCTGCGACAGCGTGGTCGACGAGCCAAAGTGCTATGGACGCTCTACTCGGTCTTCGCATACCTCCTTTGCGCCGTGGTGTTGGTGCTGGTGGTGGGGTGGAAGAACTGGTCCGCTGTGGAATACACTGGCATCTCGGCCAGTCCCTTGGTGTAGGTTGTGGTTGCGATTGCGGCTCGAACAGATACCCATGCACAGAAGAAATTACTAATGATCACAGTATCTATCTTGTGAGGCAAGCCATTAACGCCTTCTATACGTGGAGAATTGACACGGTCACACAACGACTGGAGGACCGACAGTTGGAGCGCACGCAGACAATAGACAAACTCAAGGCGGCCACCAAATACAATTCCACACAAGAACTACTTGAGAAATACGGGGGGATCACACCAGCTCCCAAACCTAGAAAGCTGAGAGCTCCGTCATTGAAAAAGCCAAAACCGGCACAGAACCAGCCCCAGCGAACGGTATCGGGTCCGCCACCACTAACTGCCAACATCCCAAGACCCGGTCAAAATCAAGTACCAACCCCAGTACAACGACCTTCGACCGCAAACAATGTTCCCTTCAACAACAATCAAGAAGCTGAATTTCTTTTGTCTCCAAATGCGCAATCACAGGCTGGTCCTCCTGAATTTGCTCCCAATGCCTATGCTGCCAGGCCACAATATGCGCAAGCTGCTGAACGAAACCCTGAGGGTAAATGGTACGACAGAGTTTTGGACCTACTCTTAGGCGATGACGAAACCAATCCCAAAAACCGAATAGTATTGATCTGCCAAAACTGTAGACTTGTCAATGGACAAGCACCACCTGGGACCAAGAGCCCTGCCGAACTAGGAAAATGGAGATGTTTCGGTTGTGGGGGCTGGAATGGCGAGGAAGATGAGGCGGCGAAAGTGGTTCAAGAGATCAAAGAAAGGATCGAACAGAAAGATCAGCCGGAATCTAGTACTGATGAAGGACAAAACTCAGCAGGTTCGGATGGCGAGAATGATGCTGCCGATGAAAAAACCACTTCTGATGAGATCATGGATACGAAATCTGCGGAGGATATAGTTAAGGTGAAGGCGAAGAAAGGTCGAGCAAAGACCAACAGGAAGAAAGCCTGACCTGGAAAGGAGAGAAGACCTGGAGAGGATAGAGAGGAAATAGGAATCAATAGTAATATACCCCCCACCATCACTGCATGGCATTTCTTTTGTCGGTTAATGTTGAGATCCTTCCGAGTGCCTTTCATATATTATTAGTATTTTCTTCTGTGGATCGGGATGAGAGTGCTTACTCAGAGTCAGAGCTGTAATACTGCATGGGGCCGAGATGTCATCGTACTCGTTCCAAAGGACCTTCAGCAGTCCATGGGATCTCTTTGACTGGCTCAGGCGAAGCACCCACAAGTTGCGAATCATCCTTGGAGTTGTTTGGGGCAAGGTTCTCTCCCATTCCCTTCCCATCTTCCGCCTTTGACATCGACAGGACCTGACGCTCAGCCGTCTCAAAGCTTGCAGATTGCCGAGCCCCACTCACAGCAGGAACAACCATAACCTTCCCATCCTTCCCCAACTTTCTCGAAACAATCACCGGCCCATCCATCAAGGGAATCATGCCGTTCTCATCCAACTCCCGATGTCCGAGTGGTTTGATCGTTGCGGGTTTATGCTTGTGATTTTTTTGTTTTCGTCGTTGGTCGTGTTGGTGTTTTCTGAAGGCTTGCTCTTGGTCGAAGGTTGCTAGGTTTTTGGCTTCGTCGCTTCCTTCTGTGGGCTTCAAGACGACCCGATTGCGTTGTCGGCTTCCGGGAATGACGTCTTGAGGGAAACTTCCCGGGACGGGTTGTTTTTGGATATCTTCGTCGGAGATAATATCTGATGCGGGTCCCTTGTTGAGTCGATGTCTTTGGTGTTCTTGAGGGACGTTTTGGGAGCCCTGGCTAAGCGAGGCCTTGGCTGGGGTCCGTAGTGGGCGAGACATTGCTGTCGCGAAGAGGGTTTCCTCGTTCGGGAGCTGATCACTCTTGAGATAGGCGTATTGGCTGGTAAAAACGTGTTTTTGCGAATCGTGCAGCTTATGCTCGTGGTGTTTGGACGTAGAATGCGTTGCCGAGGGTAACAAGTTATGTTTGGTGTTGTCGTTCTCCTTACCAACTTTCTGTTTTTGCGAATCCTGCTTCTTTTTCTCTTCTCGCTTCATGAACTCTTCCTTCGTTACATTCCACTCTTGGATGTTTTTGAGAAGATTATCAAGATGCTCATCCTGCACCACGTCGTTCTCATCCTTCTCATGTCCTTTACTCAAGGGACCTAAGCGAGGTGTATCAGGACCCCGAATCTTCGACCCCTTTCCCTTCTCTCCCCAAAGAACTTTCTCTCCAGACGCATATTCCACTGCAACCTCTACATTCTTCCCCAGCTGCTCTGCTTCGCGATACTTGTCTTTCGACACAAAATACTCCCCATCCATCGCATCCCGCAGATCCTCCAACGCCTTGATCCCCAATTGCGTACTTCCCCTCTTCGTCCTGGACTGCTCGAATCGCTCGTCGTACATGGCTTTCTGCATATGTTTCAATGCCTGCTCCCCGAGATCGAGAACCATCTCTGTCCTACTCTTCCGCTTCTCAGCCTTCACACTCACACCCACACCCTCGTGTTCGGAATCTGAGCAGAGATGTTCTTGGAACTGGCCTGGAGCAGGTGTTGTTTGCACCTCGCCCTTTTTGTTCGGGATAACCGCGAAGACTTCTGCTCTCTCTTCTTTGGACGCTGGTTTCGCCGTCTTGGGGGTGTGATGCGAAGATTGCCGTCGTGCTTGTCCCCGTCTCGGCTCGGGTTTTCGCAGGAACGAGTCGGGACTTGAAGGTGGTGAGGGGGGAGTGGGTTTGGGCTCGCTGGGTACGTCGTCTTTTCTGCCCTCGAGGGGTGTGGTGGTGGGTGCGAGGACGGAGATGAGTTTCTCGCCTGCGGCGCGAAGGAGCGGTCCTAGGGGGCTTTCTTGGGGTGTCATGGTGAAGAGCTTTGTTTGGTGGTGTTGAGACCGTGGGTTGGGTTTGGATAAGAGAGAGGGGGAGCTTGGATGTGTTTGGGATGGATGGATGGTATTTTGATTCACAGGAGGTTGATGGCTGGATGGGATGGGATGGGACAGGTTGAGGTGTCTGTCTGTCTGTTGCTGGGCCGATTTGGGAGGGTGTTTGTTTTGGTCCAAATTGGGCGCATGGGAAGTTATTGGAAGTGGAACATTGTGGTTTCTGAGGGGGGTTTACACGTACTGGGATTGTGTGATATAGACCAGGGGTTAGGTGAATCAACGGAAACAAGAGAGTGTGAATACCCCTTTCTCTTTTAGGAGAGACAGGATAGTTATAAGAGAAATAGTTTATAGAGTAATAAGCTGAGACAATATATCCTTGATATTCTACCCTATAGTTAGTTAGGTAGTGAATAGATCTTAAACTTATCGCTTAAAACGTGAATGAAAATATCACATTTTTTATTTGTATTCACTATCTATAACAATACAACACAGCTTAACTAAAATCTTCCTAGTCTCATCTTTAAGTGTTTACTCTATGAAATATGTCGCAAAGTAATAGATAAATAACTTTTGTATATAAAAGCTAGAATCGCACTATTTTAGCTTCTTTCTTTTATTACGGATGGTTGGGCTTGTTTGTTTATTTTGGTTTAGATTATGTTGAAGAGGATGGAAATTGTTGTTTTGTGAGTTGTGTTAGGGGGGGGTTGGTTTGTGCTGTTTTATCTGCGTTTGGGTAGGGGTTTGATGATTAGAGTAGTACTTTTTGGTTTGTATGTTGTAAGTTGGATTGTTGTTAGAGAAACGGGAAGGACGCTAAGTAGAGAGATGTTTTTAGAGAGAAGGTAGGTAGTTGAGTGTTCTTACGTTGTACTATATATCGCTATAAATTTAGTAATAGTACGAAGGTATCTATTCTGATAAGTACCTACTTAACAAATCTTTCCTCTTAGGCACCGAAAATACCTAATTAACCCTACAAGACTTTTAATAAACTATTAAGTATAAAGAGGTTTATAAATAGTAATAGAATAGATATTTATTAATTAGTTCTTAAGTTTTTAGATTATATGCCTAGAAAACCTTTGTCATTCTAGTAAAAGTTTCTTATTAGATAATAGATAACAATAGAGTAGAAGGATTAAATTCAACTAAGAACTTCTCTTAGTAGAACAGTGTTTTTTATTACCTGTAAAGGATAGCTATATAGCAATATAGAAAGATGTTTTAAAAGACAAGGGAACGTATTAAATATAAATCTACTTGTGTCTGTGGTAGAGTATAATCTTATATAATATTGCTGCGATACAGGGAATATGGAGGTTACTAATCAAGTCCTGGATGTTATAGATAATGAACCAGTTAATAAGTCTAGTTATTCACTAGGTTTCTAATGAAATCTTAGAGACTTGGCTCTACGGAGTACAAGTACTGGAAATATTCTGATCCTATCTTTTGAGTTTTTTATTATAATTTTTAATGCTTTTCTTATTTTGATTAACTTACCTGTTGTTAACATTCTTATCTTTATACATTGTACTTCATACGTACTTCATACTTCTTACTGGCTGTAGACATATTGATTTGCTAAATAATATTTTTGATATGGCTAGAAAGTTATGATTTAACAAATATTCATGGTATCAACTTCTTAGCAGAGTTTCTATTGGTTATTAACTTTCAATTACTTAGAGGATTACTAAGAACTGAGATAGGACCCTGCGTTAGTAATTTTCGGCAGCGTTCGGCATATGGTACTCGATTCTATAGATTCTATAATTCTATTCTACATAGAATATTGTTAGAGGTCCTTATAAATAGCACACTTGTTTCCATCGAATAGGCTTTGGAATTCCAGGGAACTATGGAATTCTAAAGTACGTGCTAAGCTAATAGCTTATTCGTAATACTATTATTTACTAACTCTCAGTGCTAAGTAAAGGAGAGGATTTCTATCAGTCTTCAGACAGGGAAACTTAACTCCGGAGCATATGATTTTATTCCATGGAATGCCATGGAACCGCCCTATACGGAATGGTATATCCCATAGGGGGGGAGGGGGGCTGGTATGGAATGGAATAGACTTCTAGTTGTCGAACGCTGATTTTCGGTTCCTGTTTGGCTGGTGAGTAAAATGGGTATGCAAATTCCGCGGTGAATGATAGCACTAAGAGTTATAGAATTGGAGGTCCATGTATGTCACGAATCTTTATCACACCGGAATTTACAGAGCTAGAAAGTTAATGTTCTATATCACGAGGTGTGAACAATCAGGGGGCTGTTCTCGCTTGAATTGACAGGGCCAATCACCGTGGCGAATTTCTGATGTCATCATTGATTTCTAAGAAAGTTTTTCTATCTTGCCAAATAGAAAACTAGTCACTAAGAACTAATAAAAAGTCAATCCTCAAGCCCAGTTTCAGCCTATTGTATTATGGGCGCTTACGATTAAGCCAACGCTAAAACGGTCCTCGGATTTATGTGACCAAAAGGAGTTTACCAGTTCTTTGGGATTCTTAAAGCCTGATTACAACTGCGCAACCAACCTCATATAAACATGCAAGTAAATACTAGATACTGCTTACAGAGAGCAGAAGCTCAACACTTGCCACGATTGATATAAGTTGCAATATTTCTCCAACGTTCTTCTTTATCACGTCATGGCGTCATATCTTATTACAGGTACATTGCGTGGACTTGGCCTCACTCTTTTCAAACAGCTGGTTTCTCGACCATCTTCTGAAGTCAGCATAATTTTTGCAACTGCTCGCAGCGAGTCTAAAGCACTCACAGAACTCGCCGAACGCAACCCTGGCAGAATATTCATCGTCCAGCTTGAAGCAAAAAGCGAGTCCAGCATCAAAGATGCTGTGAAAGTGGTAGAAGAAAAGTTAGGTGGCAAAGGACTTGATGTTCTTATCAACAATGCTGCAATTTCGTATCACACTCCAGCAGGAATTGCAACCATGTATGTTTGAGCATCAACTTGTTCTTAAAAGGGATCTAATGAAGAATGCTAGGGATGACCTAGATGAACACCTCGTTGTCAATGTCATTGGTGTTCATATGGTTACTAGAGCATTCCTTCCCCTACTTCAGAGAGGAAACTCCAAAAAGATTGTTAACATGTGAGTCTCATCGAAGAAATAGCCTAAGCCTTTTACTGAACTCATGGGAACTTCCAGAACTTCGACGCTTGGCTCCATTACTCGAGCCCACTTTTTCAAACTTGTCGATACTCCAGGGTACAAAATCTCTAAGAGTGCCCTTAATTCATTGACTATGCAATACTCACTCGCCTATGAAGAGGAACGATTCACTATTTTCTGCATCAGTCCTGGGGTAAGTTTTATTACGATCCTTATTTGATTCGGTACTTTACTGACGCTCTACCAAGTGGCTTCGAACCGATTTGGGCGGTCAACATGCCGACCTTGACGTGGAAGTTGGCGCCAAAGCTACTTTAGAGAAGATCGTTGGCGCTGGAAAAGAGCAGAACGGAAGGTTTCTGAATATCTACGTCGAGGGCTATCCGCTGTACAGCGGCGAAGATTGTGCGTGGTAAACAAAATTATGTTGATATAAATGCACAGAAAGGTGAAGCCATTTGACCTCTGTCTGGGAATTCAAATCCAATACTGTGCCCCTTAAAGCGACCTCCTTTTTTGTGGCTTGTGTCAATTTCTTCGATGATCAATTACTACTTCAAAGTTTTTGATTTGAGTCTGGATAACGAGCTTTTAAATTCGCGACTATAACAATGCCGTTATCGGTTTCTTTCTTCCTACAATGTCCCCAATGTACTCTCGGTTTTCTCTTTGACATAAGCATTCATTCTTCATTACAAGACTTTGTGGAAGTAGATCTTTCTTTATTCTATGAATAAGTACCAAAAGGTTATCTGCCCCCTTTCACTTCGTATTCATTGTTACGTATGGGGGCTTTGTCCCAAACAATAACATTACAAGACTATTTAATCAGTACCGAGATACCTCCTCTTAAATTGTTCAACTTTCTATTATCTACACCTAAAAATTAAAACCCCCAAGTATTCATTCTTTGCCATTTTCCAGCTATAGCATCACCAAAACAACAAAATGTCTTCGCACTATGACAACACCCCAGCTTACTACACCGTCGAAGAATACGAGCCCGAGAGTATCAAAGTCGACCCAAAAGACTTCAACGGTAAGACTTCAATCACCAAGGAAGAGATGATAAATTTCTTTCGCAAGAAGGGTCTTTCACGCGAGAAGGTTCTCAAAGAAGTCGAAAAAGAGTTTGAAGCTCGAGCACCTCGCTATAATTCATCGGGTGACAAATGCACTTCAGCGTTCGAATCCTGACAATCTGACGGTCCTAGGTCTAACTATAGCAGTGCAGGTTCTTATGATAGACCAAGTGGCTCATATGAGGACTACTGTCCAAGATATTCATCCGGCTCGTCCCATTCTCCACCCCGTTATGGTGAGTACGTCCAGCCAGAGAATACTAGTCGTTCAAGGACCTATTCATATAGAGATGTATCTTCAAGCTATGCCCCTCCTCCTCCTCGCCACGATACGGGGAGTATGTCAATTCTGAGGCTGCGGGTCGCTCATGGACCTATTCGTCAAGAAGAGATTCGTCGCCACCTCCACCGCCACCTCGAGCTCCCTCACCACCGCCCGCTTCTAGATACACACATGATGACTTTTATAACAGACGTGGCCAGGATAATTCATCCTATGATGAGCCCATTTCTCCAATGCATCGCTCACGCTCTCATTATGAGAAGCCAAGTAGCCGGCCTAGCAGATGAGACCCGTCACTCCGTCGTCGAGCACCACCACAAGAGAGCCGAGGACGCAGGCCAAGCAATGATGATTACGGTAACGTACTTCATAAGGAGTCCGGATTTATAAGCAGTCCGGATTTTTTACCCCACCATCCAACTTTTAAAAACCATAGAACTTTAACCACTTAATATTTATTTATATAAACTATACTATCTTTCTTATTCTCGATCTGGGCACCTAGGAGCAGTACGCGCTAGTGATCTACATATAATACAGGATCGTGGTGCACGAATTCGTGGTTCAATTAGCGAGGCCACAGCTTCATCCAAAACCATATTATCACTATTTTGAATAAGTTCCCTCCCTTCCTGACCTGTAAGAACACCCCCA